CTTTTGTCCAGGTTCTGGTCCACTATTTCCTCTTTGATGTGCTTGAATGAATCCCTCCTGTCTGTTTTCTTTTTAATTGGCTGGCCATTTTTGTTAACTGTGGGTTTGAATTAAACATATAATCTTGGAACTCTTACTTTTACTGCACTTTTGACACCTTACAACATTTTAAACTCGAATCATGTCCAATTATAAGTACATGGTTTTACTGACAATGCAAACATGAATAGTTTTAATTAAATCAAGAATATTTTACACAATGGTTTGTGCTGTCTTGTAAGAGACAGCATTGACTTGTTTGGTTACCACTATAGGTGTTGCCTGAGAAGGAACAGACGTTGTTGTGCACATTGTGTTCAGTAGGTGTGCTAATCAGGAGACGAGATCCCCTGATCACTGCCATGATCGCTGAGAGCACCATCTGTGCTTCACTGAGGGCCGGCAGTCTGACTGAGAGAGCTGGAGAACAGTCTGGTGCAGTCTCTCTCCTGTCCTCACAGGGCTGCAGTCAGTTGTCTTCACTGTAAACTATTTTACAGGCTAGATTTGAAAGACCTGGAACCAATTAACACTTGCTTGCAGACACTTTTTAAACCACACCACTATTACAATATTAATCATTTTGTGTAGTAGAAACCACAGAATGTGTGCAGCCCCCCTCCTTGGATATATTTTGAGTTATCTGTTCTTATATATGTATTGTTTGATCAGTTTCTTTGTAGTGAGCCGCGTTGAATAAATCAGCTGTCAACACAGATCTGGAAATAATTGAAGGGACTATTAAAGTGCCATGGATAATGGAGAACTGCACATAAATGTGGGCAATTTCATTGCAGGAATTTTGTCTGTTTTTCATTTGCAGTCACAGGTCATAAACTGCACAAGTCCCAACAATAATGACAATAATGTGCATGTTCTTGCTGAGTTCAAACAGAGTTGCAACTTGTTTGTGATGGAATTCCTAAAGTGTGACCTGAAATGAATGTGTGACTACATCATCGTGTAGGTTGTTGCTGTGAACAGCTCCACAATGCATCAACCCAAGAAAACTTTTCATCAATGAATGCCTGAGTGATCAGTGTGAAGATTGGGGCACTTGTTACCATGGCAACACATAAGACAACCATACACAGAAATGCACCGGTGTTCATATTGATTCAGAGTGCAGAGAATAAAGCACATGGTATCAGCCAAAGGCAGGTTGCCTTCCTTCTATCTGCGGGTGCCAGGTTAGAGGCTTATTGACTGTTTTTGACAGACTGAGTAACAGACGACTTTTTGGTGAAATGGGCTTTGTGCCCAAAGTTCAATTAAAAGCCTCACACTGGGTGTAGCCAGCGTATGTGCCAAATGGTGAGAAACGTGTAGATCAGTCTTCCTGCTTTCTCAGCAATCTGCTTGTCCTCGAGGAATATTGATGACTTTACCTTAACTCATTTTTTAAATCTCCCTTTAATGCTTTAACATCCGTCTCCACCTGACAGCTCGAAGGAGGTGTTTGGGTATCACGTGAGCGCATGCTTTGGAAACACACAGCTACATTTTTGAGTGAGGCCATGAACTATGGGTGCGACCACCTCCATTTTTCTTTTCTATAGCTCTCAAAGCAGTCAGTGGGGGAGCAACACATCTTGAGTTTTGAATGGGCATGATGCGGTTTGTGCTTCCTTCTCATTTGGTCTGACTTGGCTCTGGGGGGCCAGTGGGTCAAGAGAGCGTTATTTTAATTCCAGTGACACAATATGGCGGCAGACCTCTATCTTGTAGTGGTCAGATAACACTTTGTGATAGCTGCTGGAGGGAGATTTACACGTTTTCTGTGAGGGTGCAGTAGATTACCTCATTTTGAATTGAATGAGTCCTATCCAAGTGAAGTCAAGAGTGAATGCTCAAAACTGTATCAGACAGGCAGATGTGACAAATGACACATCAGGTGCCAGTGAAGCATGGTGACAGCAGAAAATAAGCCGGTTGAATTTATTAGAGTTTATAGAGTTACTCGATCTGCTTACTCTTTCTCCCTGACTTCCTTTATTGCATTTTAACAGTTGGTTCAAAGTGTGAATAAATGTTTGCCTTCTTGCCCCTGTAAGTCATGTCCAAATCAGTGAATCAACTGGGCTGAAAGTGTGAATGAGCCAGAGTAGCAGAGAAAAAAGGGGAAGAGGCTTTCCCCGGGGCAGTGCCCAGGACAATGTCAGGTTTGTCTGGCCCGAGTGCATGAACACTAAGCCTTTCGGAACTGGCAGCCCGCCCCGGTACCTACCCATCTCCCCTAGCTTCCAGAGCTGTCCAGCCCCGGAGCACTAAGCATTTGTGCAAAGTTCATAAGGCTTCCCTCTGTTTGTGTGGCCATAATGGCAGCTCCATCCTGTTGTAGCTCAAAGAGTGCTTATGGGCTCTGAGGGCCTGGCGCTGACGCTGCAGAGGCGTGTGAGTGTTCTCAGTTACTGACTTTGGCTGACTGCTCTCATTATGAAAAGACCAGTGTAACCCCCCCACCCCCCCACCCCTCCTGCCACCACCCCCCAGTTCCAAATCTCAGCCTCGAATATCACTTTTTCCTTCATCATGTTCTCCGTCTGCCTTTTAAACCTAATTTGCTAAATGAAAACCTCAAGCTAGATTAAATGAAAAGCCGGTTGATTCACTTCAGTCTGTTTATTTGAGCGAAGAAGCTGCGTCTGTATTAAATCAAGATACTTCACAAAAAAATAATATAAAATAAATATATTTAAAGAAGTTGCAAAATAGCAAAATACATCTGTTCAGTACAATCTCACCTATACACCATTTCCCAACTGTCAGCATTTGTGAGGCCCGAGTGATAATAACCTTGTTATTCGTGGCTGCCAGTTCCGTCGACGCAGCCATGCCTTCGGTTGGTTTTTTCACCACGGTTACGACCCACATCAGCATAATTCAACCATGACCCTCCTCCCCTCTTTCATTTTCTGCCTTTCTCCCCGTTAAAACCCAGAGCCACAGACTAGGGTCCACACCATACATCATCCAGACTGGGGCCGCTTCCTCCCATCCCCCCACCCTCCTCCGAGTGTCGTGGGAGAGAAACTGCGGTCTTTTTTTTTTTTTTTTTTTTTTTTTGGGCTGGTGGAAGGCTCTTATCGACAGTCTCAGCACTCTCAGTGCACTGAGCTTTCCCCTTGACATGTCACCCAACCTCCACTCAAGTCCATCTGTATAGTCGTGGAGCCGGGTCCCTGTTCACCAGTGTGGAACAATCGAGTCCACTTGAATCCAGATGCATATAAAAAAAAAAAGCATTGGTTTTTCAACCACATATCCTCTTCCAAAAGGAAGATAAAGGGGAGGAGCATGCTTCAAAAGCTCCAACAGCACTGGACTAATGCTGGGCGACAATCTTCAGCAGTCTTAACAATTAAGGAGATTGTTACTGGCTGACAGAAGAAGATTTCAGCAGGAGCAAAACTCAACAGATTTACACACAGCAGGTGATCTGTGCTCCCACCCACTACACTGCTCATATTTCCTTTTTTCCCCTCAATTGATCATTGCAAATAAACACTTTACATTCAGCCTTCAGGTGCACCAAACATCTTTCATGGTGCCGAACGGGGGGCGAGATGGAACTTGCATTCCACCACTCTCCTTTGTACACACCCGGTGAATAGCCTTTAGATCGGGCTTTGTGGGAATGATTGTCAGTGGCTTAATGAGCGTCTTTGCCAAGCTAGAGGCTTTGGCAACATATGTGACTACAGTGGCTGCGCTCCTGTCCGTCTCCAGCCTGTATGACACGACACACAACGGGGCTCAGCACTCTCCATTTTTTGCAGAAATCTGATTTTACCCAACTCATGGTTTCCATTCTGTTCTGGATTTTATCACCTGGAAAGGAGCGGTGTCTCCTCCCATGGGGACCAGAGCTGAGAGCGAAGTAAAATCCTGTAAGTAGTTTGTAGTTTACGAGGATGTCTGTAAAGCTGCTGCAGCACATTTGGGTTAAGCATGTTTTGGTCTTTCCACATAGAGGACACACATTGGGAGATTTTCTTCCTCTAAAAGCAAAAGGAAAATCATTTGCTTATGATTTGCGTTTTAAAATAGTTGAAATGTTGTTTTCTTGCATAGTTTTTTGTATATGTAACATCTGACATTACAGTTGTTTTTTTAAATAAAACATTAATTTAAAAAAAATAATAATTTATTTTAAGTGAAAATGTCAGCATTTTGTGGTTGTTTCTATCAGGTTCACTTTTAAAGAGTTGCAGCCAAATCAGCTCTATCACTAAACAAAGTTCTCTTCTACGCTTTGCAACTCCAAATAATTGTCACAGAAAAATCAACAGTTTATAAGACTGAAAATGTTTGCTTCATGAGTCACCATCGTTCTTAGTTACTGTGATGTCTGATAAACATCTGAGGCTGAATGAAGCTTGAATCCATCTGAGTTATCTGGAGCTGTAAATGTGGGATTTTGATTTAATTGTAAGGAGTTTACAAAACATGTCCATGTAAGTTTAAATAATACATCTGAATTTAATGTATATTGATTAACAAACAAAGAAATGAGGTCAATGAGATTAAATGATCAGTCGATTTATGGACAAGTTGATTCATTGTAAGTACGTTCTTAAGTAAAATGTCCAGAATTCACTGGTTTCAGTTGAACAAATGTAGATATTTTGCTGCTTTACTTTTTCTTTTATGATACTCAAGTAAATAGTAAAATGGTTTTGGAGTGTTGATCTGAAAAATTCACGTTGGGCTGTGGGAAATAGTGATGGCATTATTTCACAATTTTCTAATATTTATGAGTAAAAACATTCGATCAATTAATTACAAAACAATCGTCAAATGAATCATTAATGAAAGTAATTGTTAGTTACAGCTCTAAGTCAGATTAGTCATACAGTTCAAAGTAAAAGAAAAAAAATAATAATACACCAATCGCTCAAACTAAGCGATTCAGACCAAAGCTCATCTTTTGTTCCACAGGATGAATCACGGTTTAATTACATTCTATGTAATCTAGGTGATTCTGTTGTCATGTTCTCAGGCTCCATAGTTTATTAATTCAACCTCAAGAAGCCTTAAGCTTAAATAACGGTCTGCTGTGATATAATACTGTGTCTGGATCATTTCCAGAGCTCTTGCGAAACAAATACAGACGGTATTCATTTGAGTTCATTCTACCTCTCGCTTCTTGCCAAAGCAAATTTACATGAAACTGAACAGCAGCAGTGATGATTTTCAAACTGACCCTGAGGTGCATCACTGTAGACCTCCAATTAGTTTTATTTAATAAGCCATTTACTGTGGATTGAATTCTTATAGTATGACATTTCTTGTTTCAGATTTGTGTGTGATTCTGTGTTCAACATCCATGTCACTCACAAGGGAAAAGAATACAGTATGCACATACAGAGTTGTACTGTAGCTACTACCCCTGTTTGTAAGTGAAAGCAAACCAATTAGGTTAATTTCTTAGTCTTGCAAGCATCTTGCTTTGTTTGCTTTTTTGTTATAAAAGAATACTAATGATCTTAATGTAAGTGCACAGAGAGAGAGCTGTATTTTTATTTTTTAGAGGAAGAGTCCGTGACGAAGATACTGAAAATATGAAAGTTCACATCCCTTTTCTCTCAAATGTGCCTTTGAATATCAAACCCAGTTTAGTTTCTTTTAAAATGTGGAAGATTTTAACTGTGGATGCAACATTGATCAGCATCTTTTCAAGAGGTTGCGAGTTGATGACAGTTTTGCTTTGAAAACTATTTAAATTATTGCTGGCTGTTGAAAGTTGAATCAACATTTAAAGGTTCAACATTAGATTGAATGACTTATTGGGAGCGTCTTGTTTTTGTGTCTACAGACCATGAGAATCCAGTGTAAATACTGAGATTCTGGCTTGTCATATTTGAAAATCTTAAATCTTAAGCGTCTGGTCCTGAGCTCACTCCATTCAATTGGTCTCAACACAGCCTCATCTCGACCTTATTAAGTGATGGAGAGGCACAGGAACTGGGCCACATATCCGACAGCTGTGTCAAACAGCTTACCCAGAGTAACACTGTCCAGATGCTCCGCTCTCGCACAGAACAGGAAATTCAAATTGCTGAATTAGAGTCAGCGCAGAACCTTTCATTTCACAGGCTGAAATTATGATTTTTTATTTTTTACTGTATGTATATTGGACACCTGAAGGGATTAAAAAAACGGATGAAGCAGCAGAGGTTTTTCTGTAAAAATGTGCTTTTTTTTCTGCAGCTGTGTGTGTGTGTGTTGTAGGACATAGGAAATTCTTGGTTGTTGGCAGAAATAAATTGCTTTGGGGTCTGATGGAGGTAAGGATTTGGGATATAAGAGCCATCGATCATGTCTCGCTGTGGCACAGTTTCGTCTGGGGAAATTGCCGGCATCAGTCAGACAAAGTGAACGAATGTGGAGAGAAGCACCATGTGGTAGTTCACGCTCAATAATATTCCAGTCCTCGCAGTCCCAACTTGTGAATTCATCTCTCTGCCGGCTACTCAGCGAGGATCACACACTAATGTGATTATTGTCCTGGGCAAGGGGGCACTCCTGTGGGACTTCAAAGAGAGCAGATCAGAGGGAAAATGAAGAAAAGCTGTATGCTGTGATACAGACAGGTGCACTGCATTTTATGAAACCTTTTCTTTTGCCTGAAACATATTAACAGGTTCAAAGTGAGGACTCTGAAAGGATCTGTTATGTAGTTTTAATATCATGTCATGTGACATGCTCTCATGGATACTGTTTCCATTCTGCATATATGTTATGCAACAGACTAGAGTTAAAAGTCATAATCCGAAGCAAAAACAATGGTCAACTCTGATATGGAGAGACTACTGCAGGTTTTATTTAGTGCAGTCTTCATTCCTGTTTTGCTGGAATATTCACTGCAGAATTTCATATTATATGGAGACAAACAGCTTTCAGACATGCAGAAGAGCAACATGTTAGAGGCTGGAGGAAGAATTCATGCTCTTTTGAAAAGATGCAAAGCTGTTGGAAAAATGCGCATTACTGACGAGATAAAAACCTCTAGAGGTTGAAAATGTATTTTTTAAATGAACTACATCTCCGGTCAGGAACACATTGCCCGCGTAGTGTGTGCATGGCGGCTGCGAAACGTCTTGGTTTTCATTTCAGCGCCCATGTTACAGTGGACAAACTGCCTACTCGCGTGTCTCACGCTTCCCGGCTGCGTCGCAGGATCTTGAAATTCGGCGTTTCCCAGCAAAAATAGACAGAGAAAAGACCTGTTAATAGTCTTATTGACATCATACCAGCAACATTACATAAAACTGACACTTTTCACTATAGTTTCAATGTCTAGGCTGAATCTGAATTTGTCACAGACATGACCAACCATTCTAGCAGCTGCATGTGGAGACAGTGACATTTTACTGACATTTTCTGTGAAAAAGAAATCAGGAAATAATTTATAATGAAAAGAAATCCAACATTCAAGTAGACAGGTAGAGCTGGCAGTTCAATGATGCAGCAGACACACACACAAAATGTGTGTTCCCGATGTTACATACACTTGCTCCAGGGCTGGTGACAGTATCATCCTACTATAGTACTTTGTGCAGTTACATAAAGCTGCTGGGTCACTGCGCAATAAACGTAGTGTAGCCCACTCTCTCCCGGGTGATGAGAGTTCATACGGGGTCATGAAGGTCGTTCTTCATTATTTTATAAAGAACACAGGGGTCAGACCCTGAACAGTTCATCAGTGCAGCCTCTCTATATCTGTCTGCAACTGAGCCCCATTCCTCCACAGCTGAGAGCCTCTCCTCCGTCCTCATCCTCCTCCTCTGTCACTCCTTCGCCCAGCTCCAGGTTCTGTCCTCGCAGCATGCTAAAGCCACAGACCTCTGAAATATTAATGTTGTGATAATGGAACTGTCATGCTTTCTGAAGTGCAGTAAAATCGAGCCAAATCTCAATTAGACAAGCATATTATCTAATATTGCTCCCACTTCCTAATCTCATTTAGTGTCTTGTTTCTGTTATGTCTCCCGCCCCTAATATTTTAATAATAGATGAATTGCATTGCCAGGCTTGTAGCAGAATACTGAACATCCTTATTATTGCCAAAGGTCAGAGCAGAATCTAGTTTGAATTCAGAAGAGCAGTGGAGGGTAAACAAAAATCTCTAAACAAAGGGAAATTCTACATAAAAAAAAGTTGTACCTTCTAGTTCTTCTAACTCTGTTTTTCACTGGGAGCCAGGCAGTGTGTCAGATGTGCGAGCTAAATGAGCAATTGATTGGACAAAAAAGAACAAAATGACGACCGAGAAAACTGCGCGCTCATTACACACATCAGAAGCTGCACAAGTCAATTGCCGCTTAGCGTTAATCAGCTCGGTCGTTGTTTTAATTGTTCTTGAATGATCAAATAGGAATCAGTGTGGAGGCATTATCAGGAGCGTGGGGGTGGGGGTGGGGTGTGGAGCCGCTGTCTTCCCGTTTCAGGTCTTTAACGAAGAGAATATTTTAATCCGGCCAGACAAGACGAGGATCTGCTTAATCCTATTACAGGCTTGCACATTAAACTACAGTAGACCCACACTTCTCTGCCTGTTGTCTTTGTGTGAGAAAGGAGCAGATGGTGCCAACTCAAGAGCCTACTGTAGTGAACTTGGAATGGTTGAGCCTGGACCCCACCCCAGCCCACCCCATCGCCAAACAACACATCCACAAGTGTGGAGAATGTTCTAGGAAAACAACTTGTTGTCGTTATGGTCATTTTGTTTGAGTCCTTGCTCTTACATTCCTCACAGTGTGCGATGCGGTTTATATATCTGTACATTTGTTTATGGGTCACAGTGAAAGTGTGACGCCAGACCAGATGGCTGAACTATAGGAGTCAACAGAAAGAGCTTGCCAGTTGTCTAGTGGTGTGCCAGGATCGTTCCCTTAAGAAAAGGAAGTGAAAGCTGCACAGTAATCACAGATGCAGAATTCAGTAGCCTGAGGAACAGCTGAAAGACTCTCTGAGACGCTAACAAAAGAGTAGAGATGAAGCAGGGCTGAGCAGTATACAGTCAGTGATAAAAAAAAACAGGTTGCCATAGAGAATTTCCTTGAAAGGTGATTAGAAATATATTGCTGCATTGCACATGACAGCACCAAACGGTATTCCATAACCAGTCATTTGACAGTTTTTGAGAGGTAGCAGCCCAATAGGTGATCAGTTAAGCTCACTACATGCTACTGTTTTGATATCAAAAGTCAATATGGGAGAGAGACGAGGACTCCCTCTGAGGAAACTGTTGCTTTTGGCAAAGAGCGTTACAGCTCAACAGTCACAACAGCCTCACATGTAAAGATCAGTCCTGGATATAAACAAGGTAACAGGACGTCTGGCTACTTAAAAGTCCAGCTTGCAGACTCAGTGGATAAGACAGTGGACAAGCTGACGGCTGATGTTTACTGTCAACAAAAACTAAAAACCTGTGTCAGCAAAGATTTAAAATACTACAAACTACATTTATCATCTGATGTGTCACCATCCCATAAAGTACGCAGACTGCAGGCACCTATACTCTCAAACAAATAGACACATCCCTGAGAATGAATAGATACATCACACTTGTGTTGTGATCATTTGCTGCTTTTCTGCTGTTTTACAGAATTGTAAACTGTATCTTTGGGGTTTTGGTTCTGTTGCGCAGACAAAATGAACAAATTGAAGATGTCATGGACTCTGAGAAATTGTATTGGGTGTTTTTTTTTTTTTTTTTTTCAGAATTATTTTACTTTTGTACATTAAACGATTACTAGAGAATATAATCAACAGATTGCTCAATTATGAAATGAATGAGTTGCAGTCTTGTATCGCACACGCTTTTGCTCTTTTGATGGCAAAAGACATGGTTCTTATTAGGGCTGCAACTAATTATCAGTTAATCTGCTGCTTCCACTTAATCATTTAGTGTATGAGATGTCCAAAAAAGAAAAAAAAGAAAAAATGCCCATCAGAGCATCTTTGTTTTGTCCAACAGTCCTAACTCCAGATATACTCTGTTTGCATTGAACTGTGACAATGAAAAACAGTAATTTCTCACATTTGAGAAGCTCAGACCAGAGAATTTTTGACAAACTTGTCTTCAAAAATGACTGATAAGATTAACCAAAGATAAAAATGGGTATTCTTCTATTGTAATTGATCGATAGGTACCATTGTAAATGAGGGATTGTAACTGATACAAAACAGAGCCAAGATACAGGTTACCTGACGTTTCAACTGACAGGATTTCAGGATTTATACAAACAAGACAAGACCGAATGTTCAGGTTTATTTTTTGAGATGATTTATTTATTCAAATAGATTCACTGTCTGCAGCTCATGTAATCAGTTGCTAACTCTACTACAAGGGAATTTTAAGCTGAAGAGAGTCTTCAAGCTCAACATAGTGGCTTAATTTATACTGTGATATATATAAATATTAATTGAAAAAGTTACAGTGTTGTGTTGCCAAAGCAATATGTAGCTCATAACAGGATTTATTAAATCTGGGAGTTAGAAAACTGTTTGAGCAGCTTTTCATTGTGGCAAACGCATTAAAGATGATGGGTGAAATTAGGTTACAATGCCTTTGCATCAAATTGGTCCACATTCGAAAGTGGTTTGGTCTTGTTTACAAGGGGAAAGTTTGTCAGAGAATGCTCTACATCTGTCACTCAGAGACAGCTTTAAAGTATGGAGGCAGATTTTTCTTGGCACACATCCCTTCATTTCCCTCTCTGTGCCCCCTCCTCGGTGGAGCTTCTGTCCCCTCTGAGTCTTGGCTAAGTAAGGTTAGGGTTCATATTGGCCTTCCCACAGTGAGCAGCTTTTAACCTCCTGCCAGCTTCATCAATCTCAGGCTGGTGCGATCGCTGCTGAAAGGGGCGGGGATTAAGAACAGCCCGCCGGTCTGTAAATCAGCCGAGCTGGAGGAGGCCTCTCTCGTGTACATCGTATAGGTCCAACACCCTCTGACTTCGGTGTAGACATTGTCAGCAGTTAAGCTCTGAGCGGACCTCCCTCAGCCAGATGGCCGAGTTGGTTCTCAATAAATGTTTAACGAGGGGAGAACAAATTAAATCAAAAGGCAAATGATCAAGCACAGTTTGAACAAAGTGTAATCCATCTAAGGTGTTGTTGGGTTGGTAAAGGATTTTGGCCAGCACAATAGGACAATGAGAACACATTGTCTTGTGGGAATTGTAACCCCCCTCCGCCTCCTTTTAACCAGGCCAATCTTACCAACAAAGCACAAGCCAATTAGCACAAAGCCCTTACCTTTTGATTTTAATCTGTGTTTAGTAGCATAAATCACTGTGTCTGGGAAAATGTGAAACAAAGGAAAGCCTCAGGCATTTCTGTAGATGACTTATAACCAGTAAGCCTGGATTGTGATTGAATTGGGCGGATTTACGTTATGTATAGCACACTCATAGTCCCGAACCTCATTGGCGATGCTGTTGGTGGGCGGGGCAGGGGTCACAAGTTGGTTCAAAAAGGTCAATATTGAGTCACAGACGGAGTTAATACCATTACCATGAGGCACGGTTGAAAAGTTCAGAGTGCGTGTTCATAGTTCACCCGATAAATGAAATCGACTCTTTTGTTCTCTGGTCAATTATTCAATTACATCTCTTGAACAGGAGTTTGACCTCCGTGTTTCCTGTTGAGTTTGTTAAAGGCAGTAAGAAGATTAGGAGAGAGCAGGCGTCAACGTGAACGGCAGGCTCTTCTTTCTAGACGTTACACAGCTGGGTGCAGATGCACTCGTTACTGTACAGTTCATATCTTGATTACAACTGCTTGACAACACACAGATGCTATCTTTGACATTAACTGGTTGCCCTATCGACACTAATACAATCAATGTGATTACTGGACTTCTATCCTCCTATCCTTTTCATTACTGTATTTACTCTCTCTAATTGCTTTTAGTTATATTGAAGTATTTATTCTCTTTATCTTCAACTCATTTCTGTCCTACCTCTGTCTGGCCTTACTGTAGGGCTTTCTGTTGTTATATTGTTGCTATATTGCCACCTGAGCCTCTTGCTCTGGTATTGCTTTGTAAACTTTGTTTTTAAAGGTGCTGTAAATGAAGTTATTATTATTAATATTATCCTGGTGATGCTCTGTGCATGTTAAAGGTCCCATATTTTATATATACATATATATCCATAAGAAGATATATTTGTGGTTTTAATAATGAAAATGAATGTAGTTTTATATCTCCTCTTTAAGGCTTCTCTCTAAGCTCTGGTAATAACAGTTTAATCAGCCAATCAGAAGCCTCTATAATATTCTGAATTTCTTGTATGTGATGATTTGGCACTATACAAATAAAATTGAATTGGATTGTGTTTTATGTCTAGCCCCTGCAACCCAAGAGCATTATTATGATTTAACATTTCTCTAAAACTCTCATGTTTTGCCATTATTTCTCTTTTTGTTACGACGGTGTATGTTAGCTGCTGAGCTAATTAGCACAGCGTGACCTACCGAGCTGGGTCACAGCCAACACAAGGAAGACTAATGAACTGACACCCCACAGGGTTTCACAGAGCACACACACTAAAATTCCCATACATCGCTCTTTTCTGGCCTCCTCCCTGCTTCATTTCTGCACTCCGGACCGATCATGTGCTCATTATGGTCCACACTCTGGTCTGTTAGCTGGAAAATGATCCAGAGCTCTGTGCTCTACTCAGACGGCTCACTCTGACTGTTAACTATATATGCCATTTATGCCTCATACCCCTCAGGCACCGATGTTTGCTGCAATAATAGATAAATGTGTCGCTGCATTGTTAATCTCTTTGAGTTATTGTTATCAGAATCATGCAGGCACTGATCAAAACAGCAGGATGATTAAATCGGCCAAATAGTGCCTCAGCTCTGACGGTGATTTTGATTTCAATCTTGGCTATGTTTTGGAATAAATGCCTTTTTTTCCGTCAGTAATGTTGAACATCTGCCATAAATTAATAAATCCACAGGCTTCTCCATTTGTTTATTTATTTATTTATGTCGTGGCATGGAAATTACACTTTCTGCTACACACTTCCACAGACATCAAACTACAAAACAATTTGAGTCCCGGGGGAGGGGGGATGATAGGAGGCTTTAATGTGAATATTCCTTTGTCACAGCAAAATTTGAACTAACGCAGAACAGAGTCCCTGTTGATGCAAATGAAAACGTGTGCTGTGCCTGGTTATGCCTGGTTATGCCTGGCTGAGCAGAGAGCAATCAGGCTCCCAGTCACGGGGGATTTGTTGTGCTTGGGGTTTGCCTCTCTGTCTGCCAAGCGCGTGGGTGGATTCATGGGGCCTTCTCCGTCTGTGCCGCTCCCGCAGGTACAGCATCTTCAGCGCGCCAGAGAAATGAACTGAAGACGTGAAGAGGAGAGCGCTCGTTTGTTGACGTTGACGTCCGAGATTTACAGCGGAAAACCATGAGGTCGCAGAGGAGGCCGGGAGCAGTCGCCGTGCTGGGCTTGATCGCCTGTATTTGTGCCTTTCATACGAACACCGCCATTGACATCCCACTTGAGGGTGAGTGCCGACTTGCTGACTAATTCACACATGTTCACAAAGGATGCAGGAGGGTACATGTTTGTCTCAGTGACTGCTGTAGTTAAAGGGGCAGTCAAATTTCATATTTTGTAAGTGCATATTTTCTTATTACACTTGCACTGTTAACAGTTTTCCCCTTTGTATCGAAGAAGTTCCTATTTAAAAATGATTTGTCTTTTAGATCCAGATAAACAAGGACAGGAGGAGTCTGAAAAGAGAAACGTTGTTGAATTTGCAAATTATAAGTAATGTCAGCACCACAAACAGCATTACATCCACAAGGTCTCTCAAAGACTGGGTCAATAAAACCAAAATTGTCTAGATAGATGGATAGATACAGTAGGGTGTGAGTGAGATCAGACACTACTGGAAGAACATGCCTAAAAACATGATTTTTCGTAATGTGGGTGAACTAACCCTTTAAATCATTACTCAAACACTGTAAAACATTGTAAACTGGCTAAAGACCTGAAGTCAACGTTGTGTTCACGACTTATTTTTCCTGCTCGAAGACGTAAACTAGTTCCCATCATATACATTTTCTTCAGGTTTTAACACTCTGCTAATATGCTAAGCATGTCTCTTTAGTTTAGGGAACACTTTACAGTTCAAATCATCATCTCAAGTCACAAGAAGAAGGAGAACTCTGTTCTGAAATGACTCTAATAATAAAAAGAAGATATTTTCACTTTAATTAACATAAAATGAATAAAACTTATATATTTACATCCCGTTAATGACCAAGGGTGAGTTGATTAGACTAAATTTCTGTGTGGTGTTTTACAATATCACAGTTAAATAATGAGATAATAGACACTTAATAAACTCACATTACAGGCAAATCGAAGAGCCAGGAAATGGTGCAATTTATAAACAAGGAGAGCTTGAGTGTGAGGAGTATCATTATTTTTCATGCTCATCCTCAGAGAACCTGTCCTTGGATTAACTTGAAGTGCATTCATCGAAGTGTTGAATAATTTAGAGACAAATATATCACACCACAGAGAACTGTTAAAATCATCAAGTATTCTGTGAATGGAATAGATAAATCTGCAGCTATTATGTTGTTTGAATCAGGTTACTTTTGTCTCTTGTGTTGGATCAGTGTGTGTCCCTATTTCATTGAGAACACATATCAAATCTCTCCCTCTAAATAATTCATATAAACATCTCTCAAAGGCTTGATAAAGAACAGTTCAAGCAGGTTTTCTGAAAAGGCAAAAGCGTTTTTGGGGCTTAGTGACGTCAGAATAGCTTTTTCATTCAGTCTTCTGTGGTGCAATACTAATGTGTGTGTTTAAAAGGGTTTGTGTACGGAAAATACTTGTGACAAGGCTATTTCTGTTTTGTTTATTTTCCCCCTGCTGCCGTGGATTGTGTAGTTTTAGGTCATGTAAACAGTAAGTTCACTCTGCCATACTGTCGCTGGTATTAGTGACGACCTCAGCCCTGTCACTTAATCTCCTGGCTCGCTGTTGAGCACAGCAGCAGCTTTGCTTGTAGCCATATGTATTGGATCTGATTCTCATGTGTCATCAGTCGTGTCTCCGTAACACTTGTATCTTAGCTTCTAAGACTCATGTCATTTGCTTTTCCTTTACACTAAATCGTCCTATAATCACACATACTCCATCTGTACCACATGTCACAGTTCTGTCATCATGAGACCAGATGAAGAGTTTTATGCCAAAATAAAAACAATCTAACAAAATGAATGAATCATTTAAACAGCAAACATTCAACTTTATCGACAAAATCTAAACAAAGTATATATAGATGTTTATGTAGTTATTTTAATTTAAATTATTGTCATATAATGTGTTTTGGGATAGAACTCTGCTTATAGCCAGTAATAAAACTCATAGTGCAGTGGTTTCCAATCCGCAGTCACAGGGTCCCAATATGTTTAAAGACATAAGAAAGGAAGAACATCAGTTTTTTGAATTCTTGTTTTTCTTATGAAATATTGGGCACTTTTACTACTTCAGGCTTCTTAACTTTCCAACAAGTGAAGTTACTTTTCAGTTGAACTGCTCACGCTTATGTCCTCACTGAGGCCTCATAACCTACGATCAGTAGTCACAAGAAGCCAGGGTTGGCAACCACTGCTGTAGTATCATCTTTAATACGATGTACTTTTGAATAGAGTTTCATTATTGAGGCCCGTGTTATATTTTGCGCATCTCCATGCTTGCTTGTCTGTTTGTTGCCCAGTTGAGCAGCTGCCCACCATCACAGCTCAGTCACCCAGCTCTCTCATCGCCTTCCCGTTTGATGAGAGCTTCCCCGTGACGTGCGAAGCCAAAGGGAATCCCGAGCCGGAGTGAGTACCAAGCCTTGCATCACTTCAGATGGGAGGGGGAGAGGATGAGAGAGCTTGTTAGCAGCCAAACAGACACTAATAATAAACAACAACAAAAACAACAGTTGGCCATTGAGATGATGTACTGTATTTTGTCGCTCTTGAGTTTCTGCACCGGCTTTGGAAAATGAGCATGCTGCAGTCTGAGTATGACTTGACATTTCAATACTGGCTTTCTTTATGTAGATTCAGATGGACAAAGAATGGCCAGGAATTTGACCCCTTTCTAGACCCCCGGCTGATGAAAGAGGAGAATTCTGGGACCTTTGTGATACCCAATAATGGGAACCTTACAGAGTACCAGGGAACCTATCGCTGTTACGCCTCAAACAAACTGGGGACCGCTATATCGAAGGAGATTGAGTTCATTGTGCCCCGTGAGTAACATACATGTATGAGTGTGTGTGTGTAGATCTGTGTCTGTGTGTGTGTGTGCAGGGTGCTCTGTTACAGTGCTTTCAAAGTGATTCAGGGCCAGCAGTCCTGTGTAATGACTGCACCTCTCCATTGTGAGCTTTTCATTGTATTGGACGTGGCAGAAAGTCGTTGAGGCTCCCGAGCGCTCCACCCCTCGCAGCATCTCATCTATAGCTCTGTATTTGAGAAAGCATCGAATGCGATCCGGCCTCTCCATCATTTCCTTTGCTACATTTTTCATTTTGTTCCCATGCACAATAAATCCTCAAAAGAAAATTCACCACACAGGGGGAGTTTGACTAAATTTGACTGGGCCTCAGCCAGGCTTCTCAGCAGTGGTGACAAGCCACACACAGTAGTCACAGTGATGTCTGTTTTGTTTCTGGAGGCCAATAACTGAAAGAAAAAAAAAAATTCCCATAGAATTCAATCTACTGAATGATGCAGAGCTCAGGAAACACATGCTCATCACAGAATTCAAGAATGATATTACTGCCATCTGCTGGAGCGGGAGAGAACTGCACAGCTGATTTTATTCATTCTTGTCCGACTTCATTGATTCACTGTTGGTTTTGTCTTTAATCTAGATGTTCCAAAATTTCCTAAAGAGACTCTGGATCCTGTCGTGGTGGAGGAGGGCCAGCCCTTCACTTTAAAGTGTGACCCACCTAAAGGCATACCACCTCTGCAGATCTACTGGATGACTATCAGTAAGTCATACATTTTCTTGATGATAAATGAATAATGGTGTATGTGCAAATTGTTTCAAAATGCAAATTTAAACACATTTTACATTGAGACAGCAAAGTATTTCAGCTTCTCAAAAAAATTATTTTTCTGATTAATCCCTTGAATCTCAAACTCATGCTTCGCAGACCAACATTGCTCTGACTCACAAATCTTTATTTTAAATTTTAAAATCACACACATAATAAATATGCCAGGCTCAAGTCTTAGTTTTCTTTAGTTTCAACCAAGAGCTGATACAGAATATATTGCATGTGTGATGGCGCCAGACAGTGTGGAATAAGATGATTTTTCCAAGCACTAGTTGCATTTACCTAATTAAAAGAATAAAACAACAATGTAAAAATAAAAGTAAAAGTACACACAAAGAATTTTAAGTAAAATGTACTTAAAGTATCAAAATAAAAGTCCTGGTTCTGCCTCTGTCCCCTATGACGGATACATTATTACATGTGACATGTTTAGACTTATACTGATGCATCAGTGTGTAACAGTTCACTGTTTCTACTTTATATACAGTTTGATAGTTAAGTCAGGTGATTCCCAACCTATGGGGTAAATCTTAGGGGATGTGTGATTATTAATGGGGCATGAAAGAAGAAAATGTTGCTACACAAAGTTGCTTTGAGAAATATTGGAAAATTTAACATCTTTGTGCCTCAAAAGAAAGAAACTCGTCCTTTGGTGTAATTTCTAACAACTCATGCATTTGTGACAAGAGGCCCAAAGTAGACACTGTCACGAGTCCTGATTGAATATATAAAAATACATAGTATTGTATAAAATGTAACTAGTTTTTACGCAAAATCTTAATCTGAAATGTAACTAGTAGCTATAGCCGTCAGGTAAATGTGGTGGAGTAAAAAGTACAGTATCTCCCTCTAAAATGTGGTGGAGTAGAAGTATAAAGTAACATAAAATGAAAATACTCATGTAAAGTACATCAAATTTGTACTTAAGTACAGTAACTAAGCAACAACCAGCGCAGGAAAGCTGTAGTATTCCTGACTGTTAAATGCTCTGGTTTTTATGACCAAAGTCACAGGATAAGATCTGTCCAAACCCCTCCTGTGTCTGTGTTCAGATCTCCAGCACATAGAGCAAGATGAGAGGGTCTCTATGGGTTTGAACGGAGACCTTTACTTCTCCCACGCGGTGGAGAAGGACAGCAGGAGAGACTACTGCTGCTTCGCCGCCTTCCCGAGCATACGCACCATTGTTCAGAAGACTGCCATGTCTGTCATCGTCAAGACGAGTAGGTGTCACTACGGCTCCTTTGTCTTTACTCGAGTGCTGTTTTCCTCTCAAACCAGCATGACGCAAACTTTGATTTGTTTTGAGAGCGTTGATCATTTCCAACATGTTCATTGATGTCCACGTTCATAGCAACACTTCAAAAGCCATCCAGGTGTCATGCTGTCTTGTTTGTGCATCTTCTCGGTTTTATGTTGTGATTTTGATCTCGGCGATGTTTGTCATGATGCACCCATGTTGTCCTCATGTTCATTGTATTTTTGTCTCATCCGCCTCCATTTCAGAAAAAAGTGACATGAGTCCTGAAACTGGTAAGTTTTCAGAATAAAACACCCCTGTGCTGTGAATCGTCTGTAAAGAGCTGTGTGCACAATGCAGGAGTGTCAGTATCAATCTATAACATATATTAAAGTGTAGCCTTTAGGAAACTGCATTACACCTCTGATTTGTATCACACGATCTAATTCTCTGCTGTACTTCCTTAGCTAATGCAATCCTGGAGAGAAAGCCCTCTCTTCTGACGCCCTCTGGTGACAAATCACAGACACAGCTGGTCAAAGGAGAGGACTTGAAACTGGAGTGTATTGCTGAGGGAGTGTAAGTAACACTACTTTTTTTCAATAACTTCATTCTCTTACAAAAACGAACCAAAACTGTTTTTGAACTGACATAAATGTAAAACAGATTTTAGGCCATTTTATGCTGTTAACCTTCACTGTATTGATTTTAAGACTTATCACCTGTCTGAATGTCATTTCCTGTCACCCATAGTTCATATCTAACCTGTGTGTCCCCTTTTCTGTTAGTCCAACTCCACAGGTGGAGTGGGCGAAGGTGGGCGATCGGCTTCCTGTTAAAGCAAAGCGGGAGAATCATGGGAAACTGCTGATTGTACCATCAGTGGAACAGGAAGACAGTGGGAAGTACATGTGCAAGGCAAAGAACGCGTTAGGAGAAGCCGTCCATTACTTCATAGTGACTGTGGAAGGTAGCTACTGCAGTTACTTTTTTGAAATGTTTTATATATGCCATTTGAAAATGAACGGACTGATCCTTCACTTCTCTTAAAAAAAACATCTAGAGCAGAATTATTGTGGGAGCTCTAATAATACAGTATTCAATGATGCTTTAAAAGGAGCAAGATCAAGTGGTGGAAGAAAAGTACGAATACAACAATGTAAAGTATACTCCATAAATTCAGACTGATATGTCATTATGTATGACATTATCAGATTGTTTTCATTTTTTTTTTCGTCTTTGTGCCTCAGACAGATATTTAAATTAAACTGTCTAAGAAAGTGTACATGGAGAAATGTCTCTAAAAATTCACCAGCATCTGAAACCCAAGCAGACATTGCTTTTTTGTCTAAAATGTTGGAAACCTTTGGTTTAATCTTTAACAGTCCATCCAATTCAATGGGTCTGTCATATGTTTTTTGTGTAAAATATTAATATGCAGCAACCATAACTGTCAAACAAATAAAATGGAGTAATAAGTACAATATCTCCTTCTGAAATATGTGTATGTATGTAAATGTATTCAACCCCTGGTTGACTATACAAAAATGCATTGCATTTTATAAACTTAGTTATTAATGTAACTAGTTTTTGTGCAAAAACTACATCAGTAATAACTATAGCTGTCAGGTGAATGTGGTGGAGTGGAAGTATAAAGTACCAAAATGAAAATTTCCAAGTAAAGTACATCAAAATTGTACTTCAGTACAGTAATTGAGAAACTTGTCAGTGTAAAACAGTGGTTCTCGCAGTGGGGTCCGGAGACCCTCAGGGGTCTGTGAGGGGGTTCAGAAAAAAGGGGAATTATTTTCACTATAATTCCATCTATAGGTAACACAATGACAAAATATGTGACTATTTTGGTCATGGGTTTCAAACACTTTCTGTATTAAAATATCTAAAAGCTAAAATCTTATCAGATGGGGGTCTGTGGCCTAATTAGGGTCTTGATGTGAAAAAGTTTCAGAACCACTGATGTAAAAAAACTGTATATTTTGGTGTTAAAACTGAGTCCATTTATATCAGACCTTTAAATGCTCTAGTTTTAGGACAAATGGCCAAAATGACAGGATAAGATCAAAGACAAATGCACCTTGCTACTTTCTACCACTGAACAGGTTTAGAGGACATTGTTCACCCACTGTAAATGGATAAGAGGATGTTCTGTAAATAAAGAGAAAGGAGCTACTGCAGTTACAGACACGTCACTATGATCACTCGTTGAAAAATAACTGCTATAACCCACCAACCTGAAGATGACTCAGCCAGGTGTGACACACTGTCACCAGGAGTCATTGTGCAGGTGTTGCCTTTTTCTCAGATATCCTATAAATAACCGTAATACATACTTGCTTGAATTGTTTCTATGGATCCCCCCTTGTCCTCTGTGCTGGACATAGTGTCATTTGTGTCAATCTGGAGGTGTATGTATAAATATATTCTAAACAGAATAATGTCTGGTAGAAACTTACACACAATGCCTGTGATGTGCCAACAATGATCCTGGTGAAACAATAGGCAGCTGAAGTGCCTCTGTGTGTCTCTAAGTGTCTGTCATGTGTAGACCTGTAAACGTAGCCGTTATTGTAACGGGGCTCTTCTATTGAATAACATCTATTGCGCAGCTGTTCCTATGATTGTGTCCTCTCTTTGTAAATGCTTATTGTGTTTCTTCAACTGCAATCTTCAGTGTGATAACATCAGGCTGACTGTGTGTTCCCAGAGCCTCCAGAGTGGGTGTCTGAGCCTGAGAGTCAGCTCAGCATGATCGGTTCAGACGTGTTCATCAAGTGCTCCGCCAGTGGGACTCCTCAGCCGACTATAATGTGGAGGGTGAACGGTGTGCCTCTGCAGGGTCAGTTAACTGTTTACAGCCTTTTTATATGTGAAATACTGTTGGAATAATCCTGAGCTGTCAGAAACTCTGGATTCCTTGCATTGAATACCATCCAGTGAGACACATGATATATGTAGGACAAAAACTATCTGTTCCCGTGTTCCCATGATGGGAATTGTGAAGGTGCAGGTTTTATGTCATACAGTCGGAGGGTAGAGGCCAAAATGTGGACACATAGATAGTCCAGTTGATTTTTTCTTTATTTGCTGCACAGTATGACTGCACCAGAGCAACCAATGAAAAACATGTTTTTTTAGGAAAGCTAAGCCAGTGGCTCACTGGATGAGTGCAATGGTTCCCAACACGTGGGTCGGGACCCCCAAACACGGCCACAAGACAATTCTGAAGGGTTGCAAAATAATTATGATAAAGGGAAAGCAGCAAATACAAAGTTTTGCTACACCAGATTACCATATTTATAACTTTTTTTTTATTTCCCTGTGAACAATTAGGCAATTTAAAAAAATTTAATTTTAAAATAGTATTTATATAACAAAAAGAATCACTCTTTGCTAAACTGGTTACAATTGTGAAAATAGGCCGATGATGTTTCAAGGACACATCTCTTAGAAGATTCTGTTCAGATTCTGAGCTGAGCTTTGCCATGTTTAATTAAACCTAGTGTATGGAGTATTCACCGCAGCAAGAAGGTTAAAAACTTGAATTTCTGCGATTATGACTGTGAGCAAAGATGAAATACTCCAGTGCAATGTTCATGGACTTGCACTTTACTTAACGATCCACATGATCCAGACCTTTCTATAGTATTAGTAAAGAAAAGTGAAGTGAGACACCCCGTTTCCACAGTCTGCAGCATAGCAACAACTCTTAGCTGGTGCCATGCTGTACAGTGACGCGTGTGACGGGGAGACATGCAGGACTGGGGAGAGGACTGGACATTGGGGAGTGCGGTAAAGAGGTAGGGCTCTAGCCTAAGAACGGGGAGAAACTCTGCAGTTCTCCGTGACGAGGGAAGACGATTCCACCACATGAGCATCAAGATGGAGAAATATGAATTTGTGGGACAGCGAAGATGAAGTGGGTTAGGCAAAGGGAGCGTCAGTCAAGCAGAAATAGCCAAGTGTACAGTACAATCTATGGAGCTGTCGTGCCACTTTTTAGTGGCATAAGACAGTGGGTAATGTGGGAGAATGTAGACAAATGTAAGTTACAGATTTAAGTCCAGTTACCTGTTGCTATTTTTCTTACCTGTATTTAAATATGAATGCAACATTGCAGCGTGAACGTTGTCTTTAACACCTGTGTTCTATTGAATGTTTATCTGATCGATCACAGAGGTCCCGGCAGCCAACAGGAAGACGACTGGCGACACCATAGTTTTGCATAACGCCAAAGTGTCTGACAGCGCAGTGTATCAGTGTGAGGCCTCCAACAGCCATGGAAAACTTCTGTCCAATGCGAACATCATGATTATGAGTAAGTACAACACCAGTTAGTTTAGTTCTGTTTCATTCTCATGATTTTATCAATTACATGGAAACACAATGCAAAGTTTTGCGATGAAAAGCGTTCGTTTCACATTTGTTATGAGTAAGTGCAGCGAGTCCTCGGGAGATGTGTGAAGCTAGAGAGCTGGCGCTGATGTAGGCATATGCCCATAAAGCAGTGAGGAGCCCGGGGAAGGAGGGCTGTCTACAAGCTGCACTCCTTCATTCAGACTGGCGGCTCTCCCTGTGGAGCAACAAGCACGGTTCCCTGACATTTATATGCTAACAAGTTCTCCCCTCAATTCCATACTGATTTCACTGCCACAAGACAAACATGTGCTGCTTTACAAGTGCAGATAAAAAAAAAAAAAAAAAACCCCAAAAAGACAGAATCCTGCTTTCCGTTGCTCGGCACAAAACGTGGGGAGTTTGTTCTTGGTGACACAGGAGTTAATAAAGCTGGACAGCCTCTGAATGCTAAGTCCCAGCTGCTGTCTTTGTAAACAATTAGGGGAGACAGACCATTTTAATGGGAGGCTGTGGCTACAACTGATAAGGTGCACACGCTCGGCTAACTCATTATTCCACTGTTTTTTTTTTTGTTTTTTGTTTTTTTCTTTGATTTCATTTTCACGTTTACACATTTCTGACAAGCTGACAGCTGAATCATTTTTTTTTTTTTGTACACGCAGGAGCCTACAGTTAACGCACAATAAAGGCAACAGTGTTGGCACCTCATTTAACCCTCGATTATCTGCCTCATTCCACTGCTGCAAACTGCAAACTTGATCGCGCTCATTGTTGTTTTAAATAAAATCTCCTGAAAGTACAGCATCAATGGTGTATCCCCTGCTTTCCTAACAACCTTTGATTGATGCCTTTATTCTGCTGCTGGTCGTTGCAGATCTGCCCCCCATGATTTTGACCGAAGAGGGTGAGGATTACTCTGCCGTAGAGGGGAAGCAAGTGATGATGCACTGCAAGGTCTTCAGCTCTCCTCCTTCCACTATCACATGGTAAGCGTACATGTTGTTCCTGACTCCCACCCACCAGCAGAGAGCAGTAGATCTCAACCGCTCGATGCACACAGTCCTCCTGTACCGTTTCTGTATCGATGACCTGCTGTTTCTTTAAAACAAGCCTGTTACTCAACACTTGTGTTCTATTCAGCAACTTTTATCTCATCTCTGCATTTAGACTGCTGCTCTGTTCATATTTAATTTGACCTGAGAGAACTTTGAGACCTTAATGGGTGTTTTTTGTGTGTTTCTTTCTGAATGTTTCGCAGGAGCAAAGACGACTCCTCTGAATCCGTTGAGGGGCCGAGGTTTAGCGTTCACGACAACGGATCGCTGGAGATCTACAGCGTAGAGAAAGACGACACGGGACAGTACACGTGTTTGGCTAAAAACACGGAGGGGTCGTCTGCCATCAACACCATGCTGTATGTGAAAGGTAAACAGTCTTACGTGTAGCAGTGTTTGCAGTTGCTCACAGTCCTTGAGTTGTAAGTAACACGCTCTCGCCTATGGAAGATCCCACTAGAATAGCGGTGGCCCCGGAGGACCAGCAGATCTTAATAGGTACCACGGCCCAGCTCTCATGCCTGGCAGAGTACGACAAGTCCTTCAGCAATGACTTTGAGCTCCTGTGGGAAAAAGATGATGTGGAGATAGCCCTCAACTACACTGAGAATTCAAGGTAGGATACTGGATTTTATTTTATTTTTTTCTTCTTCTTTTACAGCATTGCAGACACAATCCCAGATGGGAAGTTGTTTTACTTTTTCAGTTTCGTCAGTCAATATTGTGTCTCCTCCTTTTCTGTCTACAGATACTTACTGGAGGATGGTATTCTTCAGATTATCAATGTAAGCCACGGGGACCAGGGTGTGTACACATGTGTGGCAAGAACTCCTGTGGACCGAGACATGGCCTCAGCGCTGCTCATGGTGTTAGGTGAGCTAACATTTGAACAGTATTTCTGCTCCGGAGCCAGAGGATCAGAGACCCCTGGTGCTGTATTAATGCATAACACCTCCATGCGCAGATCAATATGTCAGGAAGCCAAAGCGGAGCATGAACATGCAGACCATAGCTTTATTAGTGTGGCGCTGTGTCTGACAATCGCCCTCATGAGACATCTTAAAGAAATAGTGGAAGCTCACGCAGCTTGTTCCACATCCCCGGACTCTCGGGATGATTTGATTGAACATTTGTTCCTTTAGCCTTTTTTTTTTTTTTTTTGCCCTGCCAGATTGATTGTCTGTGATTCCTATATCTCTGGTGTTGATGGCTTTCAGATGTCCCCGATGCACCTGAGAACTTGATGCTATCTGAGCACAAGAGCAAAAGTGTGAAACTGAAGTGGATCCCTGGGGACGATCACAACAGCTCGACCACAGGTAAAAGGAGAATCTGTGTGTGCTGATGTCAGTACATACAGTGCAGTACATGCTGAATGAGTGTAATTAATATGACACACACACGTTGGACATCATTGTACATTTAAATAGATTTGGTGGATACCATCTCTTGTGAATCTAACATTGATTCATCCGAGCATGAGTTCATGATGAGGATTAGTTCAGGAGTGTTCTGGTGAGATAAGCAAGAACCATAGTGGTGATGGACGGCTCTGATCGTCTTTCTACCTGTCCACAGAGTTCGTCATGGAGTACGAGGAAAGCCAGTGGGAGCCGGGAAACTGGAAGGAGCTGCTCCGGGTACCTGGGAACCACAACTCGGCCATCCTCAAACTCCACGGTCACGTCGACTATCGCTTCCGCGTGTCTGGAGTCAACACTGTGGGGAGGGGTCCTCCCAGCGAGCCCACAGAGAGATACAAAACCCCCCCAGCAGGTCTGAGGCGTCCTCCGTTCATTGTTTATTATGCTTTCTGATAAGGTCCTCCAGGCCACTTGAGCTGCCAACACTGCTGCTCTGTGAACTTTAAAACACTCAGACCTGCTACATAATTGATTCCACTCTTGTTGAAAATCTGCTCTCTTGTGTGTGTGCCTATTTCACTGGAGATTTCTTCCACTATGCCAACAAAATCTATATTCCTTCTTTTCTGCAGCCCCTGACAAGAACCCAGAAAATATCAAAATCGAAGGTCATTTGCCACATGAAATGGATATCAACTGGGAGGTAAGGAGGAGAGTTTGGTCTTTTATAATCCTCTTTCTGCAAATTGTGTAATGTGGGCCACCTTTACATATTGAATTATTCACATCTACCACAGTTTTTGCAAGTCAAAGAATTTCTCTAAGAGAACAGAGATGAAGTTTTATCAATGTTTCATAGGCAATTACCAATAGCAATTTAAGAAATAGGAATGTCCCACTTTTGATATTTCATTCCGCGGTTCAGATCTTTAGAAAAGCTATTTCCTGGGATCACTGTGAAAGAGCTCTCAATGAAAGCTGCTCCTTTCCTTTGATTTGAAAGAGAAAGGAGGGCTATGAAAAGGAGAATTTTCTTTTAATGTGTACAGTAATATATTCAGCTTTATTGTAGAAAGATGAATCTCTGCTTTACTTATTATCTGCTTGCCCTGTCATGGTAACGTAACCCCCGAATCCTGGATTCATGAGCCCTTCCACTGTTAATGATTTGCTTTTGTGGAAAATGGTATCTCATTCTATTTCTCACGGTCTGACTTCTGTGAGGCGATAAATCTTTTCATCTACGATGATGTACGAAGCCCTATATCAAAGCAAAGCCACGCTGCTAGACCAGGTCAATTGTTCCATTGTTTATTAGATAGCAGGATAAAACACTGCTAGTGTTCCAAGCACAGTTCGCTGGCCCGGCTTGTCATTTTAATCCCACAGAGGCAGTGACACTGAGCGGTGAAATACAAGAAGCGTCTTATGCAACTGTGAAAGTCTGCATGAAACCCTTCCCACCATTGTTGTTCCTTTTCATGCCTCCGCGCCGGCAGCAGCCGTGGCCGGAGCCGTTACGTTTTCGGGTCTCCTGTCTGCATGTACATATGTATGTCTGTCAGCCCTATTCTCGTGAGCGTGATATCTCAGTAAAGCTTTGAGGGAAATTCTTCAAATTTTGTACAAAAATCCACTTGGACTCAAAGATGAACAGATTTAGATTTTTGTGGGCAAAGGTCAACGTTTATGTTCTTGTGAATGCAATGAATCAGAAAGGCCCAGAGGGAATTTCATTACATCTGCTGCAAACATTCACTTGGACTCAAGGATGAACTAATTAGATTTCGCTCGGCAAAGGTCAAAGGTCAAGGTCACTGTAACCTCACACGTAACTTTTTTGGCTGTTCTTCAAGAATTCATAAGCTAATTATGACACAATTAAACACAAATGTCTAATAGGATAAAATATTGCAGTGATGACAGTTTGTATCCAGAAGGTCAAAGGTCAGCTTCACTGGGACATCATAACGTTGTGAGAAAACACTTCTGGCCATTATTCAGTGCTGTAACTCAGGAACAGAAGGGAAGATTTTGACCATATTTCTTGCAACTTGATTGGCTGGCAGAGGCGGTAATTCTAGTTTATTTTTCGCTTTCTTTTGCTTCCATCATTCAGCCCTTGTTACCCATTGAGCACAATGGCCCTGGTCTGGAGTATAAGGTGAGTTACAGAAGACAGGACGTGGAGGAGGACTGGAAGGAGCACATGGTGAAGAGACACTCATTTGTGGTGAAGAACACACCCACCTTTGTTCCCTATGAGATCAAGATCCAAGCCAAGAACCATCAGGGCTGGGGCCCCGAGCCCAAGATAGTGACCGGCTACTCAGGAGAGGACTGTGAGTAGATGACATATAATTTAATTTAAAGCTGCACTAGTTCATCATTTTTATATTAACAGTGAGTCAAATGAGAATGTGTAATGTGGTCAATGCAAAGAAATATCACCAAACTCTGTTTTAGTGTATTTTAACACATAGTTTTGGTTGTGCCATCCTCAGTTCTGCTCTCATCAGTGCAAAAGTTTAAATAAGTACTGTGTGCCACCTGTCCAGCACCAAACAGTAGACAAAGCAACTAGCTGGTGAACATGTGGAGCACTGAGCAGCTGACAAGTCAGATATTTCCCTCAGGGGTTGGTGGAGCATAAGACAGAACTCAAAGGAAAGTGAATATTGGACCTATATTCATCAAGTGCTAGGAGACACAACTTCAAATGAATATTAAAGAGAGACTATTCAACGTTTGAAAGAATAGATAACACACATAATTTTCTCCCTAAAATGAAAAGTTGAATTCAAAAAGTAACTTCACTCAAACAAAATTGACATTACTGAGTCAGTTCCCTTTTCTACCTCTGCACACTGTAGAGTTATATTAGCTTTCAGCTTGTCACAGACAAACATTTTATTATCCTGTAATTATGACTTGTGACCACAGTGGCAGCTGTTTACCGAAAGTTACATAGTTTCTCTTCAATGTTTCTCCCCATGTGCTTTATGCTAACATTTATAAGTAGTACTTTATTTGTCCCTGTGGGGAAATTGGTTTGCAGCATTATCACAGGCATTTAAAAAAAAAAAAAACATGTTAGCAATAACAACTTTGTAATATGTTACTCAGCTTGTTGTAGTATTCCTCTTACCCCAAACAACTATAATTCACTCAGTTACACGAATCTATAAAAAGATACTTGTAAAAACCTGTTAACAGAAACCTAATAGATTTTCTCTTAATTAATTTCTGATGCGAAAACGAGAAAGCCAGACCTATGAACTTTTGTTTTTTTCTTGTTGCTATTTTCAGTGGAAAGAGATTGCAGACACTCCTGATGGATAAAGCTGATGATATGTCTGGAGTTCACTGACATAAACTTAAATGGTTTCTGGGTATTAGAGAAAAGAATTGCATAAACTTCCCACTCACCTCTTGTTTCCATTTGTAGCTGCCAAAGTGCAAAGAGGCCAGTGTTGCTTTAGGATATGTGATTGTTATGGAGAAAGATGTAGTTTAATTAAAGTATGTTCTCCCCTCTCTGCTTAACTCTGTCATTTTCAGCTGCAGTATTCAGGTGGACTTTGTGAAATGATTTATTTATAAGCATTGTTTTGAAATTAATGAAATGTTTAGGACTTTGAGTTTGACTTTGAGTTTCAAGGTTGCGCACTGTGGCAGTTACAGATTCCCCGGAGACGCAGTCTTTACACAGGTTTACTCTATTCCCTGTATTTAGCTTTCTTCTGGACTTGTCCTCAGGAGGTCACCTCAGGTCATGAAACGCCTCACTGTTGTGTCCTTGCTCAAATGTGGTGTTAGAAATATTTAACCTTTAGCTTAGCTGGTTTTAGGCAGAATCTTGTATTGATTGACTGATCGATTAGTCCCCAATAGGTGTTCCTGTAAATAGGTGTTCTCTAGTGTTAGTGTGTCTTTTGTCGATTTCTGCTGTTATGAGTTATTTTCAGGATCATTGCCTCACTGCTCTGTGTTCCCTGACTTACTTTCAGTTTACTGTAGATTGTAATGTGTGTTTGCCTTTGCAGTTCCCTCTGCTGCGCCTGATGATGTAGCTGTGGATGTGATGAACAACTCAGTGGTCAAGGTTAGCTGGACGCGTGTACACAAGGACAAGCTACATGGACATCTGGGAGGCTACAGGGTAATACCTCAAAAACAGACCTTTGCTTTTAGACACAGTTTAAAAGGAATGGTCCTGACCTTGCTCCAAACATTTGCTCCTCTCACCCCACTCTGTCTCCTTTACTTGGCCGGCTCGATGTTTTCCTTCTCACACCACCAGGAAAAAACACAACAATAACTTATTCAGCATCCTCTCACACATAGTGTAGTCTGTGTTGTACAAAGTTTGATCTGTCCACTGAGGATGGCTCGGTGCTCCTCTCTCCCAATGTAGATAAACTGGTGGCGTCTGCGCCGTCTGGTGGATTCGAAGAAAAGCCACGGAGACAAACACACACTGACGTTCCCAGGGGACCGGAACCACGCAACGATACCACGACTGACGCCCTTCTCCGAGTACAGCCTCATTGTCATGACCTTCAATGGGCGGGGAAATGGCCCCGGCAGCCATCCCGTCAACTTCAAAACCCCAGAGGGAGGTAGGATTGTGGAAAAACAGCATGAAGTGTATTGATTCACAACTACTGAAGGGAAAATCTAATAATAGCCAAGGAAACTGGGTTGGAGAATTCAACTGCTTACTGTGTGTATTACCTTCTTTGCCCCCACAGTCCCTGAGAAAAATCCTGTTTTCAGGGTCACAGATGTACAGAAGCACACTGTCTCTCTGGTCTGGGCCCCGCCGCTGGAGCCTAATGGGATTCTCACTGGGTACCTCCTCGAGTATCAGCTCAGTACGTATCCCTTCGGCTCATGCTTATACTTAACTAACTCAGATATAATGACAATGCCCCCATCTTGCCACCAAGGGATATTGTTTTTTCCCTCGTGTTTAATTGTGCTTACATCCCTCTGTTTCTTTCCAGCTCTTGCCCTCATAAGAAAAAAGAAATTAAGTACACAGGAACGCAGGCTGCATATTTCAGTGTGGCTACACTGACTGCAATTTTAGAGACCTAAATAGCCTCACTGCTTTAAATGCACAGCCTCCACTTCCAAATAATATACAGACAAGTATGTGCAGTATCTCTGGAGTATATGGGTAAAAGAGAGGAGGTTTATCCTAGGTTCACTGGTGATTGTCTAACCCATGATCCTCAGCACAGACAGAAAAATCATTGTGTTGCTCTAATAGGGCCCAGGTCATAGTGAGGTCAGAGTATGTGTATAGGAAACATGTCAGGGTGATGTCTGCTGGCCTGTGTGTCACAGTCATGGCTCAGCTACTGCTGACCAAGGCCACTGTGTCACCGTCTGTTAAGGTCCAGTCATACTGACCCCATACTGTCCGCAGGGGACATCCTCACCATAGCTCACAGTCTCAGGGGATACCATCACCGAACACGTCCCATGTGTGCACACACTTTGCTTGTCCTTAAACAAAAGTCATATAATGAAGCTAATGACTAACTTCCAACAGCGTCTTAGTACCGCATTTCCCGGCTAATTGAGTTTGATTTGGCGGCTGCACAATAGGGCCAAGTGTCATACAGTATTTCAGGAGAGGACGTTTTCATTGTGCCACAGCTATAAAGCTGATGGAGTCTTTGAAGTGTGACTTTTTTTGAAGTCCCCTTGAAGGAAGTCATGTGCGAAATGTTGAGTATCAGTGTATCGTCAGCGACACAAGTGGAATCTCAAGCTGCGGCGCAGCTGTTTGAGGGTAACGCCCACCTTCACAGCAGCCTTTAATGACTTCACATTTCACAGGTTTCACTCTTGTAACAATGTGTAGCACACTGAGCATGCAGTGGTACCTGGGTGTTTAAATGGCTTTAACTAAACTGCTTTAATTGCACATTGTCTTTGTGAAACCTTTTGATTAGTGTGTCAAATTGTCACCGGAAAAGATCAGGGATTTTTATTAATAATATTAGCAATTGATTGAACTTATATGGTATTATTTTCTTTTCTTTTTTCTTTTTAAATCTCTGTTTATTGCATTTTTTAAATGATGAGTACACAAACACATAGAAAACAGGAGGAAAGTATTCTTCTCTAAATCACTGTATACATTTCTGTATGTAAATCCTGATTGTATCCTGAAGTTCCCCTGACCATCGGGTGGGTGTCGTGGTTACACGGCCCATAAGCTGCTGACCCAGAGTGGGCCAGTACATACTGAACAACTATATAGCCTTCCTTCCAGCATGCTAGTCATAGCATTTGACAAGGTAAAGGTAAATGTGTAAAGTGAAGATGAGGGCTAACACTGTTCATTCTCTCTTTTCAAAAACATTTTTCCTGTTAGATTAGAGCACTTAACACAAGCTATTTTTTGCTTTGTGGCATAGAAGAGGCCGTTTTCACCACTATTCCAACTGTATTTTATAATGGAAAGCTGAAGAATTGATGCCAAAATTCTTGCACTTTATGTGCTATTGTATATCCATGCAGACTAATCTTGCTGAACACTTTAGACCACTTCACTGTATATTTGAGCTACTGTAGAGTAACTGTACTGTAAAGTAAGTAGTGGCCCAGGTGAAGTTTGATCTGAAACATAAGTGGGAGTTCAAAGTGACCTTGGCTTCAGTTTATTCAGTTTTCTTCCCATTTGGGCTAAACTCACTCTCTATTTCAGTGCTGCTGAGCCTCGGTCTGTCTCACACTACACAAGGCCAACCATATTTGGCCCAGAAGGTTGAAGAATATTTGGAAATATTGTTGTCTGAAGTCAGTGGAAGAGCCAAAGTGTGCAGCCTTCAGCCAGTTCACTCTGTCAGATCATGTGCACCAGCTGTCAGGCCTGAGTGTTTGTGGATAAGTGAGAAAGTAGAAACATGATGATTTGCGGCCGCGATTGCATAATTCACCAAAGATGGATCGTTCTCTTCCCCAGAGACACAACAAAAAAAAAAAAAATCATGATGTCTGATACCAGTGGGTGGCGTCCAGGCAAAAAGAGAAGCAGCCCAATACATTCTTGTCATTGTTTACTACCCGAGAGACACGGCACCTTTTTCACAGCAAAGGTCACCTCAACACCTGGTGTGTTTGTTTTTGTTACAAATAACATAAATGCCACCCTCTGACCTCCTGGCCTGCTTTACGTAGTGAAGAATGAGCGATCCCATCACAATGTAGACTGAGTGCAGACAACAACAACATAAAGACATTCTGGTTGTAAATGTGCAGGACCTATGTGCAGGGGTACTTGCAGGGTATTTGCTGCAAAAAAAAAAAAAAAAAAGCAAATTATAAGTTGTCTTTTGCTAATGCCACAACATGTATAACAAATATGTAAGTCAAAATGACAAGTGACATTTGCTTTCTTTGGTTTTGCTGAAATGTCTTCAATAATAATTAATGTAATTATTACATAGCGGGTACCAATCCCAACACATCTAATGGAAGGAGACAACAGACGATGGGATAAAAATGGGAAATTACACAGTAACAAATACTTATTGCTTTACAGTGTTATTGTTAGTGGGGAAAAAAATCTGTGACAGGAACCTGACATAAAATTGTTATTTGGTTGGAAAGTGATGACAAAATTGAGGGGAAATAGCTGAGCGGCAGCCTGTTATATCATAAATCATCAAACAAGCAACCGAATACATGTTATCATAAACTTTTTTTAAAGCACATATGACTAATTACACCTGAGCTAATGGCTAATGACAGCTGTATAATAATGCAATCACCTGTTGACCTATTTTACTGTAATTACACACAGTAGGAGCTGTCAAAATGGTTTGAAAGCTAAAGTGGCAGGGAGTGTTGGGTGGAGAAGTGGGGTCGCAGGGTCAAGTCACACCTGTGAACGCACCTGAAGTAGCCGCGGGCGAAACGCGTTGTTCGCTCTCAATAAAAGTCACAGTGAAGTCATCTCAGTGTGCGCTGGTTAAGCCTAACTTTCATTCAAGTTGTTCCTGTGACCAACGAGCATCTGATCGCTAATATTAGCCAGGCGCGGGAAGTTTGGTTCAGTGTTATAAAGAATACTAAACAAAAATATAAATGCAACATTTTTCATGAGTTCTATTAACACAAAAGATACACACAAACACACACACACACACACACAATTCCACAGGCCACAATCAACACCCTGATCAACTCTGTACAAAGGAGATGTTGTTGCACTGCAGGTCACACCAGATATTGACTTGTTTTCTGTAGCCCATGTGAAATCCAAACTTCAGTGACTAATAAATGTCTTTTTTCAAAATAAAACTGCACATTTTAAAATGGCCTTTTATTGTGACCAGCCCACGGCACACCTGTGCAGTAATCACGCTGCGTAATCAGCATCTTGATGTGCCACACCTGTCAGGTGGATGAATGATCTTGGCAAAGGAGAAGTGCTTACTAACATGAATGTAAACACATATGTGAACACAACTTGAGAGAAGGATGCCTTTTGTGTGCTTAGAAAAAGTCTTAGATCTTTAATTTAAACTCAAAACAAAACAAAAGTGGTTGCGTTCATTTTTTTTGTTCGGTGTAGTGTGCTATATAAATGAAATGGATTTAGTGTCAAGTTACTTGTTCAGGACAAGGAGTTGAAAACATTGAAGAGTTTCCTCATTACAGTGTTAGCGGCTAGTTAATAGTAGAAACTTCTCTTATTACATGTTATTATGTGGTGTGTGAAACAAAACAGTACCAGTGGTGACAATACAGTCTCATCAGGAGAAAACGGTGTAAGCGCAGGGTTGTTTTCCCTCTTTTTGTTGTAAACGTGTTGCCCTGTTACTCCCTGTACTACTTTTACCTTCTGGTGAGTTCGCAGTATGATGACGTACTCGACTATAATTAACACTTTTTGTGTGTGTTTGTTTTTTTTATCTTTATGTCTAGTCAACGACACTGAGGAGGTGGGGGCGCTGCAGACAGTGGACATCAGCAACCCCGACATCACCCAGTGGATCCTGCGTGACTTGGAGCCCATGAGCAAATACAAGTTCTACCTGCGCTCCTGCACCACCGTGGGCTGCGGGCCTGTCGTCAGCGACGAGTGCACCACCACCCTAGAAACAAGTGAGTGATTGGAGGATCCAGAGAGCAAACGGCTGGGTGGTGTGTGTCTGGATTGGCTTGTGGGTGTCTGAATGGGTGAGTGAGCATGTCGAGAACACGGACGAGATCTGAGGCGCAGAATTGGATCGGCACGAATTCAGGCCAAGCGAACTAGGTGACAAAGCCATTTCACAATTTCAAAATGGCATTGAACTAGGAGAATATGATATATGCTTGGGCAGCCAAGCTTTTCATATCTCCATGTAAGTAATTTTTGTGGATAAACAATTTCATATGGGTGTAGTGGAGGTTTCCATTTGTCACTGTCATGAGAGAGCAAGTGCTTATTGATTGGAGGGAGAGCGCGAGCTATGAAACAATCAGCTAAGAAAGAAAATTGCTTTTAGCAGAAGGGAAACTGAAGGTTTTGATAGTGAATTGTGTAATCATGAAAGAGTTGCTGGGTAAGTAATCATAATAAGCCAGCTCGTAGCATGTAATTTTTTCCTTTCAATTACATATCTTTTGTTGAGGACTGCACACTATACTTCAGCTGGCCCCAAATCAAGCAAAAGCTCCTGTGAGATTGTGGGCAGCGGTACAAGCGACTGGACGGGATATGAAACAGGAAGCTGTACGTTTCGGATTCACCTGAGCGTCATTACAACGGACCACAGCAACAGATACCGTCAACATAAATAATAGGGTGGCACCCCCAAAGAAATTCAGTGTCTCGTTCAAGTTGTGTTATGCAAAAACAAAACTTAATGTTGAAAGGCACTGCAGTTGCTAAATATGCCAGTGATTACTTAGCGCTGTAGAAGAATCACAGAAAGAAACTTAATTGGCTCTTAGGGGTTGTTTATTTGCTGAAAAACCAGCAAAATGATTACAGGGAGAAAGACATATTTTTTATTTACAGAATTGCAGTTTTGTAGAGCTGTTACGTGTGTGTGTGTGTGTGTGTGTGTGTGTGTGTGTGGGAGACTCTTCTTAAGATTTGAACATTTAAGTTTATTTAGGTAACTCTATTGTCAACAGTACTTCTATCACTCTCATGCCACTAATGCTTTCAGCATTACCTTTGATCAAACAGTGTGTATTGTAAATGTGTGTGAATGTGTAAACGTCTGCTTAGCAATGCAATGTTTGTCTTTTTCTTTCTTTCTTTCTTTCTTTTTTCTTTCTTTTTTTTTTTTTCCTGCAGCTTCCACTCTGGCTTCCACTGTTGGCCTCAGTATGTAGATCTGTGTTTCCGTAGAAACTGTGGCGTGTCATACCTGCACACACAATTTCAAATTGCTTCCTTCTTGGAATGAAGGAATGAAGATTTATAATTGTGTGTGTGTTGGTGCAACGTGTTTCACAGTCGTAATAGTATTAGGTAGTAAGTGCATGGTTGGGTGTAGAAATGTGGACGGGTGTGGATGGTTTAAGCCTGAATAAATCATCAGCTTTTGAGTCTCGAGCAGTTGAACACATTTTATTTTTCCTGTACAAGAACTAAAAAGTGCCAAACACTGTGCTCCTCTGCAGATAATTGACCTTGTCTGCTGTTTGCCCTTGCCATCAGCAGAGAGCACTCTGATGCCTCCTTTCATTAGAAAAATGTCAACTTCTTCTTAGATAAAGTTTGTGGCTTCCTCGCTAATAGCAATGGTAATGAGTAACCTAATTATAAATTCATATTAATCTTGGCTCATTAGTGACTGTAAACGAATATTGACTTTTATCCTAGCAACAGCAGACTCAGTGCAACATGTCTACCAACTCAAGCTGAGGAAATAAATGATGCTTTAAGAGCCAAACCCAGGAAGAAGATCAGACACGCCACACATCCATCCTTCTTCCATTTAATGATGTATAAAAAGAAAATTGAGCCCTTTTAAAAGGCAAATTAAAAATCCCAATGTCTCACCTTGTGTATAAACAGATGTAAAATGATTTTTTGTTTTTCTAGATTGTTTCACAGTAGACACGTAGTTACTAATCTTAGAGTTTAGCTGAATATAGCATGCGTGCTAACAGTAGAACGTAGCGCCCCCTGGGGCTCGATCTCAGTCGATAACCACGACGTCTGTCTTTCTTTTCAGGCAAGTCAGCTTCCCCCTCACCTCCAAGCACTCCAAAGTCCCCAGTGACCAAACCCACACGTTCCACCATAGGTAGAGCCGCAGCACATTCTGACACAACAAGCATCAAACCACAGAGACAAACAAAAGCTGGGAAATAAACACGAAATAATTGAAACCGATTACATGTTTATGTTTTGTCCAGACATTTGTGCGGTGACATGACGGCCGGTAAAACTCCCCGGCTGTCCTCTCAAAGTAAACTGACATCACAAAAACAAAGATGCAGAGGTAGCTCTGTATTCCGCTAATTAGCTACTTCAGTTATTTTTCTTTTATAGTTTCAGTTGTTTCAGTTGTTGTCTGTTGTTTCCGGTGGCAACAAGAGCTGGGGTGTAAGGTAGTAGCTCTTTTTTATTGTTTGTTATATGACAAGTGCATGCTAATGAAAAAGCCGGTTTTAATTTCTCTGCTGCACCACAGGGAAATCTAAGATACTAGATCTGTCCCGATCCAACAGTGGAGCTGTAGAGTGCAGCCGCCTGAATGGGACAAATATGTCGAATTGTCAGTGATTGATTTGTTGGGCCCCAGTCCCCATGTACACGGCAGCGTATTGACCCAACAGTCACCTGACATTTCCATGAAATCTTCAAGTGGGTAAACAGCAACACAGCTCCGGGATGAGAATCTGTCCCAGGGCAGCGTCTGAGCTGTGAGCGAGGAGAAACGTCCTCCTGGGCCATGCCGGGGAGGTGTGAGCTCATACTGGGAGGGTGATATTTACAGGACACTGAGATAAGTGGATAAGTGGAGGCTGTTGAAAGCTCCTATATCAGAATATTTTCTGGTCTCTCCCCCCTTAAAAAAAAAAAAAAGAAGAAGCCTACTGACTTTGAAGGGGCATCTTCCAGGGCATCAGCATCCTGCTGGGTGAGCAGCTGCTTTCTGCAGCAGTTAATAGCAAGCTGAGGAGTGTGGTGACAAAACGCAGCAGCCTGCCTTGAGATATTTTTAGTTCAGGGGCCTCTGTCAGTTGAAGTCATCGCGCACTTCCAATAATTGGAATTACCATAGTTGCAGACTAATCCATCAACATTAGTCAGAGGGTGTCATTTGCAGTGGTTGGGACGGGCAGCGCAGACACAGGTGTCCTTGTGTGCTGAATTATCACCTGAGCAAATAATGCACCTGAGCTGGAGACACAACAGAAGATTTGCATGTTTGCCGTGGGGAAATGAAGTGGATTGTGCGTTGTTGACTAGCTTAGACAGCTGCTGTCAAATCATACTTTTCCCATACTAATGATGCACATCATTCACTACATTATTAGATTTTTTTTACTCTGTCAAGTATCAAAAGCCCACATTACATGTCTGAGTTAGATGACGCTTTGAATTTCCTTCAAAGAAAATAACAAAACATGGTTATTAGAGCCCATAACTAAAAATAAGCTGGACTATATCTATCATTGAGGACACTGAGTTCATGATCTCTGTGTAGTCTCCGGGAATTAAATAATGCAGACAGAAGCAATTTTGATAACTGAGTAATTGTTTATTCACCTTCTAATAATTAGTCATTAAACAAGCAAAAAATGCCTCTGGTTCCATTTTCCAATTAAATTGATGCTTTTTCTACTATTTTTAAATTCCTTGTAAATAAAATGTATTTTGGTTTTGGGGCAAAATGAGAAATTTATAGACATGACCTTTCATCAAAGAAAATAATTATTAGTTGCAGCCCAACTGACCATCTTTAAATTCAACTGTTTTCAAGGCAGAGAACGTTAAACTAAAGGTATTTGGTCAATGTGGAGAAGGCATTTATATCATTATGTGGGGAGATAAAAAAAAATCCAGGAAATGTAATTTAGCATAAATAGAAGGAGAAAATCTGAATGTTTTATAAGGTTTTTGAGGGAAGTAAAAAGTATCTGTAAATCCTGGCTCCAGACTTAAGTATAAGAAACTACTTCTTAACTAGTGTTGGACATCTTTCTGTTATATAACAGTACAGTTATATAAGAACACGGAGAAAGAGTTGATGAGTTTTGATTGTAAATCCTTTAAGATTTAAGTAGTTGTCCATTTAGCTCTGCAGGCTCCACCCATGACTCCATCTCCATATCCACATCCCTCTTGTCACGTCTGCTGTTGAGAGATTCAGCCAGTGTCCCGCTCTGTCAGGTGTAATTGATGCGTCCTTACACTAGCGTTAGGAAACAGAAGAGCATGCTGGGCCCTTTCACAGAAGGTGAAGAGCAGCATCCTTCATTGCATAATGACAACACTCCTAACCGCTCCATGCTTTGGCCTTGACCTTCTCTGTCCTTTACTAATCCTTCCTCGCTGTTTCTCTCCTTTCCTCATCTTGTCTCGTTTCTTCCATCAGTATCGGCCCTGTCGAACGTTAGCTCAGCTGTTAGCAACAGCTTCGCAAATATCAGCTGGATATCTGGAGGAGGGCATGCAGAGTTTTATATTGCATATATGAACAACCGTAAGCTCATATTACCTTTTTGTTTGTGTTAGTTTCTGGACTTTGTTAGAGATTCTGTAGGTGGAACATCTAATAACATTCGCTGTGTTGTGTCTGAAACGGTCCTCTACCAGATTACACTAGTTTTGTGTCCTCATGAGTACTAACCCACCCTGATCATTCACCCTCTGCACAGGTGAGGGTCACTGGAAGATTTCATAGGCTTTAAACACCTCTAAGACTTTCCACATCATTGACGGGCTTGAACCTGGGACTGAGTACACTGTGCGCCTTATTCCTAACAGAAGGGTTGAGAACTCTAGTATATTTGAAGATGTTATCACGTCAAAGGTTCAAAGGTGAGGAGAGAAACCCAAAAAGCTCAAGTTAAAAAAAAAAAAAAAAAAAAAAAAAAAAAGTCAGCAGAACTGATTGACCTCTCACTGAACGGAGTACAGGTGCGCCGGCGTGACTCAAGCCGCAGCGCATGGTCCTCTGTGGTGTCACTGGGATTTAGACTCGCTGAGAGGAATTACATTTGTACAGCGTCCTTTACTTGATTAATTAGACAAGCAGGATTAGCTGTTTAATATTAATATTGGACCGTTTCCATCAGCGGTGCGCCCTAACACCTCCTGCCTTTGCATCAGATAGGCTTTGTCGATGTAAACATTCAATCAGGTGTCCTGATGAAAAGGCCAAGGCGTGTCAAAGTCACTGGGTATTGTTCTCCTCAGGTCTGGCCAGCATCCACGGAGGAATATCCACCCAGGGCTGGTTTATCGGCCTGATGTGTGCCATCGCTCTCCTCACACTCATTGTGTTGATCGCCTGCTTTGTCAACAGAAATAAAGGAGGAAAGTATTCTGGTAGGTGCTCACTCCAAGCACACACACTTCACCTCGCTTGAATACTAATTGCCGCATCATTATATTTCCATTCTGCTCGTTTGTTGCTAGGAGAGAAATTATCAATCATCCTTGAAGCCACTGCAGGAATATGTAAGCTGATAGGTTGTTTTTTTTTCCCCCCAAACCTGAAAATTATTTTAATGCAAATTTATACATAAAATAGCCTTGTGTATTGATAGGAAAATGAGCATTTTGCACTGTATGTCCAGCATTTGAATGTTGCATTATTTAGACACGCAGCTTTTTCCAGCGGCAATCCAAACAAAGTGCAGCACACAGCGAGACAAAAATGCAAATGCTGCACATGGGGTGGCTGCGCGGGGAGCAATGACATAAGCGCTGTGGTGTCCCAGTGTTATCCCTCCTGTTGGGGACATGAGAGTCCTTATCAGCTTTATTATTCACAGCTAATGGCCATCAGGTTGTCGTCTGGGCAGCGATCGCTTCACTCGTCAGCAGAAAAAGAGCGAGGCGCAGCTCTGTCCTTTGTTTTCTCATTAAGTTCTCATTATCGCCCGTAGCTCCAACAACCTTTTCTTTCATTCGCCTGAGCCATGTGGTTTTTTTTTTCTGTCACACCACATGTAGGACTATGTGTTTCTTTATCATGAATGTAAGACTTATATAAAAGTAACAACCCAAAATATTTTACATGACAAAAGCTACATTGTTATATAGAAGTAGATCTATATTTAGAAAAAAAATGTGTAAAAATGTAGATTTCAGTAAATTTAAATTTTGTGATTTTTTTTCCATGGCTTGCATTGAACTTTCATCCAGTGAATAAGTGCAGGGAATAAGGGACTGAGAATCAAATAACGTTACCAGTCAGGGGACACAGTGATCTTCATTTGCAGGATTCTCCTGAGGAAATCACTGATATCTTCTCTACATTTTGTGAGCAGTAAAAGAGAAAGAAGACCTTCACCCAGACGTGGAGTCCCAGGGCATGAATGACGACACATTTTGCGAGTACAGGTAAGCGTAACCCTCAGAGCGCTATTTCACCACCTCACTGCAATTCATGCGCAACAGTGTATGAACTTCTTCTTCTTCTTCTTCTTCTTCTTCTTCTTCTCCTGGCGGTCGTTTCCATTTTCTCCTCTCAGTAATTCTCTATGCCTTTCTCCTCTTGCTGAAAAGACAACCCAGCATGCCGCAGGTTCACGTGGAGCCTCACACTTCTTCTGTTCAAGACATTTGATGGACTGAGTAACTGGAATGTATGTGATAAACAGCAGTAGCATCCCCGATCTGTTTACACATCAGTGTTGTTGGATTGTTAGCCTCCCTTTATAGGCCATTGTGATCTTAGATACGTCGTTGTGTTGGTCTTAGACGTGTTAGACATGTGCGACATAAAGGGAGCAGCAGTGCCGTTCAGATGCTGCCATTTTCTGTCCTTATGGAGTTAAAAGCAGCCTGCCCAGCCCACAGCAGGAGGCTAAAACCAATCAGTGTAATTGAAAGCAGCTCATCTCCAGGGCAGTAATATCTGGGCATGTTTCATTAATCCTGTAGTGGTCCAATTCATATCACTCCACTGCAGTAAGAGTCCTAGTCTAATTCCCCAATCACTGGGATCTGCACAACACAAATGCTGATATGATGAAGATAAAAGTGGCTCAGTGTGACAGGGTTTATATTTTGTCAGGTTGCTTCCAGGTGCTGATGTTAAATCTGTCACTTACTTTGAGTGTTAAGCACTTCCTGAGTTCGTAGTAACTAGTAATCAGGTCACACCATTAAAATGCCAAATGACATTAAAACACCTTAGCTAGTACTTGACATTTCATTATTCACAGCACTTTGAGGATATAACATGAACTAAAATACGGGACAAATTGATGTCATGATGTATTGATTCAATACAGGATGCAGCATTTTATTTTCAAATACGGGACGATCCCATATTATGCGGGACGGGGGGCAACCCTACTCCGAGCTAACCTCTCGCTAAGGCTCTAGTATAAAGACAACAGTCACAGGCACAGTTCACTATGTCACACAGCTAACAGTGTCTGAGCTAACATGTTTAGTGACGCCCTCACAGCGTTCATTCAGAATGAGTGGCTCACCTAACCAACATTTTTCTGGTAATTTTGTAATATGAAGTACAGAATTTCATCAGGTGTGGAGTCAGATGTGTCGACCGTATTCAGTATTTCTTTTACCTTGTTCGGGGTTATCCGTTAAAAGCTTGTTAGCTTTGTTAGCTATCAGTTACTGGCTGTAGATACTTAGTAACAACTAATTTGTAGAGGTAGTGTGTGTTGCAACCTGTTTAGATTTAGTTTGTTAGTTAATCCCTTGCCTGGCATCGTGGTGGTGCCGTGCCAGAGAGGACAGTCAGCGATCTCCACCGCTCTCTGTCCTCTGATGTTCGCAACAGCGTGGCGAGGGCTGGGCCGTGTTTAAATTTAGTGAGGTGCAAATCTGCACGTAGTAATCACTCATTATAATTAGACTCGGTTACAATTTAACAACAACTGGCACAGCCGACTCCTGACTGACAGGGAGCTTTAAGGCTGTATTGAGAAAGTTAGTTACTTATGAACCAAATCAAATAAAAGTACACACCATTTAATAGTCTCACAGTTAAAATGCAGTTAAATTACAGAGCCGCAGCATATGCAGCACCAGTTTAATGTCCCCTTCAGCATCTCCCTTCTCTTCTAGTCATCACTTTGTCAAATACATCGATGCGTGTATAGCGTAGCGATTAATATTGTCTCAACATGTGCATCTGTTTGATTATTTCCCATTGGTCAGCCAGAGGTAAACAGTAATGCTAGTCACACAGGCTCATCGTACAGGCAGTGATTGCTCAAGCCTGCACGCCCGTCCTCTCCAATAAGCCATTGAGTGAAGCCATGAGTGAAATGAGGTGATTCTAAATCCACTGTGCCTCTCTTGCAGCGACAACGACGAGAAGCCACTGAAGGGCAGCCAACACTCGCTGAGCAGAGAGATCAAAGCGGGGGACAGCGGGGACAGTCTGGTGGACTACGGCGACGAGGACGCTCAGTTCAACGAGGACGGCTCTTTTATCGGCGAGTATGCAGGGCGAAAGGAGAAGAGGGTGTCTGCCGAGATCAAAGCCACCGTTCAGACCCCGGCGTGAGGAGCGGAACCGCCATCCATCCTCCCCTGGACACCGTTTTCATTAAACCTGCTGTGAGGAACAAATGAAAGAGGAAACAGACATTATCCATACCGAGCACAAGTTTTGTGTCAAATGTAATGCGTCATTGCCAACTGCACACTGCCATTCTCATTTTATGAAGCTCTGTTTTGTCAAGTTGCAACAGAATGACCATTACTAAATACTGTGTATATATAGTGTATATTCTATGTGTGGAGTGTCTTTTTTTTTTATAATTATTACGCAAAACATGTAGAGGGCTTGGATTTTCTTTTTTTTTCTCTTTCCATTACTTCAGCTGCAGTACTGTTTGTACAAATGTTAGGAAAATTTCACTCCCCATTGCACATGGTTTACATGCTGCTTTGCCTCTGATGTCATCTTGTAGCAGACCACACAGACACAAGTGGGGATATCAAGCTGATATTTTTCAATTGGAGCAAATATTACTGACCTTTTATATCTGAAATTGATTCATTAAATATGATGTAAGATGTGTATAAAGGTTGCTTATTAACTTATTTTTCTCAGTGGTTTTATACCTGACAAAATAACAAGGAAATTTACATATCATTTCATATCATAAACATTGATTATTGAATCGCCCTGTGATGCTAGAAGAAAGTATAATTTAGTTGTTATGCCTTGTTTATGAACATTTAGATCCATTGGACAGTATAAATTACAAAACTCAGACTGTGCGTACTGCTGTGCCAGATGTAATCCATTACAGATTACACTATTCTCCTGATTATGAAGTTGTAAGAACTTGTAGTGTAAATGAGTAATCCACATTTTCATCAAAATCTTCAACATCTTGAATTAAAGCTACAACTACAATTACAATTTATTCCAGTTTACTGGTAAATAATTTTAAATTGCTACAAGCTGCCAATAGCTGGTGTTTTTCAAACAAATGACACAGGTGAAGTTTCTCTCAGTTTTACCCCCAAAAAAGGTTTTACTTTTACAAGGAGCCACATAAGCTATATAGGAAGAGTTCAACATTTTGGGAAATATACATATTTGAGAGAGTTAGATGAGAAGATTGATACCCGGTTCTGTAGCTCTTTTAGCTGTACAATAAATATGAAACCACACCCAGGAGTTGGTTGTCTTAGCTTGGCATAAATACTGGGAAATAGCTAGTTTGGCTCTGTCCTAAGGTAACAAAATACTCCTATCTGCAACCCTAAAGCTCACTGATTTACATGTTATGAGTCATCTGTTTAATCAGTAAAAAAAAAAAAAGAATGTACATGTATTAACAACATGTTAATCAGTGTGCTTTAAAGGTGGTTGGATTTTGATAATCCAAGACAGAACCAGATGAGCTGTATCCAGATAAGCTAAGCTAACCGGCTACGGCAGCATCACCTTTAAAGGGGATACTCCGAAGATTTAGTATTGCAAAAGACTTGTGCAGAGACACTTTAAAAGAAAAGAAAAAGATTGTAGCAGCAGAAGCCAGTATATCCTGACTTTTAGTCCCCAGCATGATTCAGACTCCAGAAAAACTGGATCCTACATTTCCCATAATGAGGCTCAGTAGCATCTTTCACCAGAAACTTTCTAACTCCACTTCCCTGGATTGTAAAGCAAACTTCCTGCTTATAAATTTGCAGTCTCCAAAACACTATGACCTCATCAGGGTTACTTCTCAGAGTTGAATCCAGAGCCACAGAGAATGTTGTATTTGTAGGCTGATTCATACTCTGCATGATCATTACACCGATTTTAATGTGTGAAGTTGGTGTAGTGTCCCTTTAAGAAGAAAATGCATCTGTATGCATACCTGTAATGCGTTATAGACTTTTTTTGTAATCAGATTACTTTGATCTGGTTGCATATTTGACATCCACCAATATTCTGCTGATACAATATTCTGTAGACATCAGTTTTAACAATCCTTACTCTGTTACTTCCAATATACTGCCATTCAAACCACAAACAGTATGCTGTTCAGGATTAACATTAGAAGAACCATGATCAGAACAATCACAATGTTTTGCAAAAGGTCAGCCATTGCATGGTAAGAATGTTAATTGGTGTTTTTTGATGTCATTAAATTGCTTTACTTTCCTACTTTCTGGTAATCTTTCTGGTAGTCTTGGCTCCCTGTTTGGTCACAACCATCAATGACGGAGTATTATTAATGTTCTCGATGCCTATAGTACTGTATGGAGTTTCCCCACAGATGAATACCTGACTGAAAGAATCTCTGCCTTTATCTCCACTCAGCAGTAAAAATCTGAGTGGAGAGAAAGCACTACCTGGAGAAACATCCTTGTTCACTCTGAATAAAATGGCAGATGTTTGACAGATTGTTTCCATTCGCAGTGTGACTTTAACAAATGTCACGCTAGGGTCAAGTCTCTGTCTGAGTTGAGCATCTTGTTTGATTACTTTGGCTGCAGGAGAGAATCATGAGAAATCAAAGCAGTGGGCTCAGACAGGCGCTGGATCAAGGAGCGGGAGCTGTAATCATGTCTGATGGTTGATAGTAGGGAGTGGAGAGTGTCATTGTGAGGGTTCTCACTGCGTGGTTTCGCATCTGCCTCAAATACCCTGTCATCACTCAGCCAGGTTTGCTTTAGCTGCTGCAGTTACAGGCTTCAGCTTCCACATGCATGACCTTCAGGTGTTAAAAGTGGACGCTCTGATAGCCTCACTGGAGGTTCTCAACAACGTGAAAAGCTGGATGTGTCTCGACAGTGTTGGGGAAACTTCTTACAGAGCATAATTCTCCAACATAAAAATCGCTCCACTCTGACAAGCTGCACACACAGCTACAAGCACAACTAAAAAACTAACAGCACGAAGTTAAAGGACCTGTCTGAATTACATTACATTATTATAAACAACACTTACAGGCCCATTGAAAGAGTTTTTGATCACTGCAATAATCAATTGTTTTCTGACTGTATATAAAGATGGATGACAGTATAGGTCATAAATCCTGCCCCCCTCCATGTTAATAGATGGGACATGATTCAAATAAAAAATCCATGTACAGATTGAATAATTTTTAGTTAGTTTCTGTCATTTGAGGTAGTTCGTACAATGCTGATGTATGATCAAGTGTTCATTTTCCTGGGAAGTTTGGTTTTAATTAGTTATTTGAAAGAAGTAACAAAAGGGGGTGTGACATCATGATTGATAACTGTGATTGACTTGCGATTGAGTCAGATGGGTGTATGGGTGACACCCTTAAAAGTGTGGCTCCACCCCCACTATCACTACTGCACTGAATCCAAATGACGTCACCAGTGCAAAATGGCAGCGCCCTTTTTTTCTTTTTTTGGCTTCTTTCTGGTAAAGTGGGAGGAAGTGGAGATGTGTTGTCCATTTTTATATACAATCATCTTTCTCCTCACTTCTAGCACAACTCTGTGTTGGGGAAAACATTCAAAGTCCTCAATCTTTGTGAAAATATTCAGTTGAAGCTCATTTGAGGCCTCAGCATCTGAATTAGACAAATTAAGTTCAATCAGGAGAGACTCATTTGCGTAAACAGATAAACTTTTATTGCCATGTGAAAAACGAGAGGAAAAGTGAGATATGTGAGAGTCTTTGTCGATTAGATCCCATCGTGATGTCATCATATGTGATAAGGGGGTGAGGCTGTGCGAAGTGTTTCCCCCCAGGAATATGAAGACTGCAAGTGGATGGAGTGGAGGAAGGTCGCAGCAAACGCACTGAAATGACAGCTGACAGTAGGAGAGAGGAGAACAACTTTTTTTTTAAGAATGACAGGGACAACGTGATTGGCTGGTTGAGATCGTGGCAATTGGATGCCGAGCACCTGAAGAAATTACAAATAGTGAGGTGAGAGACGGAGAAACGAGAGAATTGGGAATGGAAGCAGAATATACTGTAGATAATCTTCCTGATTGAACTTAGGCTAAGCCTCATTTGCTATCTTACCTTACGGCTTTAGAAAAGTGAGCATAAGTCTTTCAACATGGGCATGTACTGTGTTGTGACAGACTTGAAAAAATAAACTTTACAGCAGAAATAAACATGTTTACAGCCTGGTACAAAAAATGGTTTTGGTCTCTACGGCTAATTTCCTCCTTCATGACAATTGTAACTGGGTGAATTTTTATATAACTCATCCATTTACATTTTATTAAGGCTTAAAGTTTTGCATAATTGAAGGTGTGGCTGCTTTGAGTGACAGATGGCTGAGCGTATGCTTGCCACAAACCAGCGTTCACTGAAGTTGGGCTTCACATACACTCCACCTCTTTGCCCAGTTCTGGATTAGCCGGGAGTTAGGTGGAGTCAGGCACTGCCAAGATGGTGACGGCAGAGCGGCCCACTTCAAAACCGCTCTTCAGAAACCTAAGTGTGACATCACGGAGGCCACGTCCATCTTTATGTACAGTCTATGGTTCTGAATTCAGTCAGAAGCTGAGCTGAACACAAACACACAAGCACACTCCCAATGATACGGTGAGTGCACCCATTAGATTACACAGGTAACGTACAGGTGGTACATTGGCTGTTTCGGGCAAATAAACACAAATAGTCCAGCAGTCAAATATGTGCAGGTGATAAGAATTGAATTTTTTTTTTCTGTCAGAATATTCTGACACCTGCAAGTAATGATCAGCTTACATGCTGTGAATTATTCAGCCAAATAGAAACTACAGTTTCAAAGAGCTAGCATGCCTTGCAGCTAGCGTGTTAGCATTCCTGAAGTTCAGGTTCAACACCAAAATGAAAATGTAGATGTTCTGTTTTGCAAGTGGAATTCTCGGGATTGTTCCTCAGGAGATTTGAGTGGTTTTAGTCAAAGTTACAGTTACAGTCTGTGAATGGATGAAGCTTGGCAAGGACTGTAGAAAGTTGAACCACGTAAGTTTTCAGGCGTAGGGGCAAGAAAGTACATTTCAGGTGCCTGGCTTAAAATGATTTGTAAAAAAAAAAAAATCAACAAAAAAATTTTTGTCTGTTTTTTAGCATTCAGCATCCACCGCCCCATAGGTGTCATTTTAAAGGGTGGCAGTTAAATGTTGGATAGAAAACTGGCTGTGGCTACTTTGGATTCACCTCAGTTACAGTACAACAGATTCTTGCAGTGACAAGTTTTCACAATGAAGAAAAGAAGCAAAAATAACCAGAGACTTTTAGAACCATTGCTGCAGCATAATTCACTTCTCTGTCCATCTGTAGGCACAGCAGGTTTCAAAACACTGATATATTCAACCATGTATTGCTTCTGTTTATAGCATTAACTTTCATGATTGCGTGATTGAGTTCTCTCGTGAACACACTGTGCTATATAAATTAAGTTTACCTTTGTTTGTCAACAGTTAACACAAACCTTTCAACCCTTTGGAGGGTGGGTAAGATAGAGAATATATTTGGATTGGAACATCAGTGGTTGATTAATACATTTATATGAATTTTAAATGTATTTATCGTTATGCAGTTTTTTACTTGCGTGCTCCTTTTTTTTCATGTTATTAACTGACCTTGTTATTTTACACTTTGCATGTGTTTTATTTAATGCTTTGATAACAATAAGAAGATATATTTGTGGTTTCAAAGGGGCTATTTTTAAGTTTTCATGTCCATCACTGGAGAGAGCTCTTGGTGAGTAAAGGAATGAAGTTTGATGCTGAACTTGCAATGTTCTTCTAGACTAGTGAGTAAACAGCTGTTAATGCTAACGTTAGCTATGTAGCAATAGCAAAACTTACAAATAGCTCCTTTAAGTACAAAAAATTATCTCTGTGTAGTTTTACATCTCTCTCAGGCTTCTCTCTGGAGCTCCAGTCACAACAGGTCAGTGAGCCAATCAGAAGAAAATCTGAGTGACCCAATAAAAATATAGCAGATTTCAGGTAAACATTCAGAGAAACCAAGTCCTGCAAAGCTGGACTGTGGGTGTGTGTGGGCGGGGCTTGGGACATGGATGAGTGCAGTGACTGCTTTGTTGTGACATCACAAAGTAACAGAGGTCCTGACGGCTCATTTTAAGGCTCAGTTACTGAATGCAGGCTGTGTGCATTTCTCTTCACAATATTAATATAGAACTTAGACCTGCATTATAATAAAAAATCTCACTTTGTACAATATTAGACCTTTAATACAAGCACTTGAGTATCTCAAATGTCATAACCCTTAGCACTGTGATTAAAGAAAGCTTGACAGGTTGTTTACGGACATATTTAAAGGTTTTCTTTGTTATTTAACAAGCAATGAGCAATGATGGTAAAGCTGCTCTGAGCTGAGCCATGCAGAATCGAGGAGGCATCTACCCCTCTCACTTTGCTTCAGCATTAGCAGGACTTAATAATCCGTGTATTTAAAAAAAAAAAAAAAACTGATACAAAACAGTAACAGCCCCGGCGCAATAATGATTCTTTGATGCTCATAACTTCCCCTGCCCTTATTATCATAGCATTTAGCTTTATGTGTGCACCGACCCAGTAGATATGAAAGAGCTTGCTATTATACTGGAGTTGCACATGTTACATCAGGTGTTTTTCAAAAAAAGTTTCTTTTCTTTTCTTTAAATTTCAGGACTGAAGAATTGATGTTGCACATTACCAATGACTTTTTACATTAGACAATGAAATATCTCTGTGATAAGATAGTAAGAATACCCAGAATGAAGAAATGTGTTTGTAGGACTAAATATGTACAAGGGGACTTCGGGAAGAGGATTTTTTTCAGCACCTGCTCCACATCACGTGCTCCTAAATAATTACTGTTTGTACATAATCCTGGTTTTGGTATTTTACTGTCCTTGACTATGTCTAATCAAAGAACTGAAGCAAACTGAATTTTTAACTTTGCTGCAGGAATCACTCCAATCATCCATCTTGAATTTTACCAGTCAACATTTCAGCAGTGCCTGGCTACACATTCATTGGGAGTAGAGTGGTTAATTTAGTTTCTTTCCAAGAGTGAGATGAGAAGATTGAAATCAATCTCATGACAGCAACCTCCAACTGCAAATGTAATTAATGACATATATGTCCCTATATCAAGAGTGATGTTACAGTATGTCAGCTGTAAGGGCATATTGTTATGATCTGACTAAAAATGCAGTTCGAACCCCAGAGCAG